CTTTCCACCTTTATCTCAGTGTTATCACTCCTGGAGGTACCTGTCTGCCTTTGTGTTTGCACTCCAGACTGTGTTTTACAGATATAGATATTATCAGGAACTGAAAACATGAGGGAAAACGTTCCTGCATGCAGAGCTGCTTTAATAATTTGTAGGCCACTCACATAGAAAGCACCATAAAAAAATAAATAAAGGAAATCGTGTTTACAAGTGATTTGAGAATAGCTGTCTTTTGAATACAAGCCTCTGGGTCTATTAGGAGATTTTACATTCAGCCCACTGCCTGGCCATTATGTGCTGCAAAGAAATTACTCTGATTGTGCAGATCATTTCAACACATAATGACTGGGAGCCCAATATTTTTCATTAATTTTTCTGGATTAAATAATGCTCTTAAGTAATTTTTCTGATTGTTTTTTGTTCCAAGAGCGGATTTATTTCTGAAGAAGCTGTGTTCCTAGGTGCTACAATTTTGAAACCAAACCTCATCGTTGCCAGACTTGTCCCCTTGCTGGGTCTTTCCCGTCTCCTGGAGGTGGCTGAACCTCCCATTTCTTGTGCTGCTTCTCTGATTTCATCCATCTCTCCTTCACACTTGCACTGCCTTTTCCTGGACTCTAAATATTTGACCCAGATGTCCTTAGAATAGTTTTATTTTATTTTTTTTCTTCTCCTGTTAACCCTTGGGATACTTCTCTCTCCTCCAGGGTCTTGGCTACTGGTGATTGTGATGCCCCTTCCACTGCAGGACTTTGTGTCTCACCAGCTGGAATTCTCACATAAATACCTGACTTTTCCTCCTGCTTATGGCTCTCTTGAATTCTTTTTCCTGGCAGTGTCATTTTTTTTTAAAATGCAATATTGTAATTGCTGCCTGAAATAAAGAATGTTTCAAATTGCAGCTTGCGAAATAGGTTTTATGGAACAAACTTGTATTATCAGCCCTGCTTAGTTACATGCACTCAGTAATCATTCTTTCCTGGATGTTTTTCAGAGTGCCACCTCCACAGAGGAGGTTGCTTTATATTTTGTGGCTTATTTTCAAATAATATACATGTGCAGAAATCTGGGAGAGAGATTGCCATGGTATCTTTCCCTTAGATGCCACAGCTGGTTTTCCCCCAGAGGGCACTGCCCAGGCTCCCCAGGGAATGGGCACAGCCCCGAGGCTGCCAGAGCTCCAGGAGGGTTTGAGCACCACTCCCAGGGATGCCCAGGATGGGGTTGTTGGGGTGTCTGTGCAGGGCCAGGAGATGGGCTTGAGGATCCTGATGTGTCTCACCCAGCTATGTCCAGGATGGGGTTGTTGGAGTGTCTGTGCATGGCCAGGAAATGGGCTTGAGGATCCTGATGTGTCTCACCCAGCTCAGCATATTCTGTGATTCTATGAATCAACAGCAGCATGGCCAGATTAGACCTTAATTAAAACCTTAATTAAACCATCAGTGTGTGATGATCCAGAAACCTGACTTCTCATGGGCTGATGAGCGGGACAGCTCTGGGAAATTGGCCATTTGCCCCTGCCCTGCTCTCTTTGCATCTCTGCAGCATCACCAGAACTGTATCGCCCATGAATGTGCTCCCTGTACTGTCTTCTGGCTCACTGCAAGATGCTGGATCTGGGAATTTTGGAAGGGATCAAAGAGAAACAAAGTCAATTGGGTTGCTAGGAAAGAAGAAAAATGTTGAAATAGCTCTGACTGACCAGTTGAGTGCTGGGTGAGTGTCAGTGCCTGTGAAAGGCAGAGTCAGGCCACTGCTCTGGCTCCTGGGGTGGTGCATTTTGTGCACCACAGAAATGATATCTGTGAGAGCAGTAGCCTGGTGGAGTAGATCAGGCACAGACAGGGAGTCAGGGGACCTACAGTCTTCACTCCTCTGGCACTGCCTGCTGTCATTTGCCTTTCTTATTAAGAAAGCAAGCTTAGGGCAGAAAATTGTCCTAGTTTGTGTTAGTGCAGAGTAATGGGGTCCTGACCTCCGTGGGGGCTTTGGGTGCCACTGAAATACACACACTAATAACAGTGGTGACCTGCTCTGTGTCTTACTATTCCAGCATCCAGCTCCTGTTACAAGGAACAATTCATTCCAGGAAATGTGATGGAAGTAACCACTAGAAAATACAGTCATATTTTGTTTTCATTCCTTTTTAATGCCAGCAATATATAAACATGGTTTTTCAGAAAGAAAAGGGTGGCCCCTCAAGTACAGCAGTGCAGAGATTTGCAAGTGTGTTTAAAGATATTTGTAGGAAATGGCCATCTGAGCAGTTTTTATGGGCTGCTGTGCTCAGAGGATTTCAGATCCTGCATCTGTATAACGGAGAGAAGCAAAAGTGAATTCCAAAACAGCGTTTCTGTCAGGAGCAGCAAAAGTCATGTCCAGAGAAACAGCTCACAGAGCTCCTCCTGCCAGGGCAGGAATGTTCTTACCTACAGCTGGTGCTGGGGCAGGTGGGAAACCAGAGCAGCCAGAGGAGATTTAGGTATCTGAATGGAAAATATGCCAGAACAGCAGGAGAACAATGGCCTTTTGCAGTAATGTTTCACTGCAAGGCTTTGAGAATCCCAGATCCAGGAATTTGCTGACACTGTCATATTCTCCATTCCTAGGCACTATTAGCTGAGACAACTTAAAATTGGTTGGGCTGGTAGCCTAAAGGAATTGCTGACCTTTGCCAAGAGAGATGAAGTTGCCCAGAAGATTGGAGAGAATCAGTCACCACAGAGTGGAGGTGTCAGGATGGATAATGAGCCTTTCTTCTCCTCCTGGAACTGCAGGAGCCTGCAGTGGGGTGGGAAATATCAGATAAAAACACTCTGACCACAGATTGCCTGGAGTAACGAGCAGCAGCCTGGCAAAATCAAACCAATCTGGCGGGTCAGAAGATGGAGTTGACAGCACATTCTTATTTCTTCTAACACAGCTCACACTTCATGAGGGTATTCAGATGGTACAAAAATGAGGGGCATCTGACTGTGCTGTTTATAGTAGAAAACCATTCTCCAACACCTATTATTTAGGGTCATAAGAGTAACTGCAGCTCAGCTGAAGGATAATTTGGAGTACTTCTGACTTTCACTTCAATGAATAGAGTTTTAGCCATTTTCAGGGAGAAATTGTACCTTTCTCATTGCCTTTGTTGTGTGACAGTGTGGGGATTGCCTGTCTGATGGTGTATAGCTCACCTCTTACACACATTTACTGCAGGATTGTGGGAGAGCTTGTCAAATAAAGATGGAAATATGCAACTGATCCGTTATTTTATTCTCATGCTCAGGAGTCCCATTAATGCATTTCAGACCTGTGAGCACAGAAGTTATCAGTGAACTCTTAACTGAATGGGCAAATTGGTGAATGCAGCAGAATAGTAGAGTTGTCAGGGGCAAAAGCTGAAAATGATACGTGTGATTCCAAGAACCAGCCCTTTTTGCTTGGTAAATTTAGTGTTTTGCTCTGAGTAAACTAGATTAACAGCTTAGCTGTAGGAGAAGTGAAATCATGCTTTTATCACTGCATCATCTCTTAAAGCACGTGCAGTTTAACGTGTGGCAAAAGGCAAAACAACACCCCAGTGACAATAACACTGCTCTCTCACCAACACATGGACTTGACTGAATATTATCTCCTCAAACAAGTGACTTTGAACAGAAGTGATTCAGATTTCCTGAAGATCAGCAGCACAGAGCTGTTAAAAGAGCAAAATGTTACAGTCTTCTGATGGCAGCCCTCTGTGTTCACCTTTGATTCCCTTCCCCTATGTTTAAGCTGTAGAGGAAGACCTGGCTGACTGCAGCAGCAAAGGTGAAGCCCAAGATAAGAGTGGATCTCATGTAACACGAATTCATTTAACTTTGTGAACTGCAGTGGTGATATTTTTAGAAGTGGTTAAGTGTAACAGGAATATAATGAAGATAGGCTTATTTAGTCTTTAGAGTCACCATGAGTCAAATCTTGTGGGGCTTTCTAAATCAAGCTCAGTGGTTTAAGCTATATCTGGAAATATTCTGTGCAGCAAGTAGTGAAGTCAGCGGAGCTGAGGTCTGTAATGAGGACTAATGAGGTCTCAGCAATAGGGTAGAGGGCAGCTGTCTCCAAGGTGCTCAGTTAGAGCAGTAATGCTGCACAAATAAGGTTCTAAATAAGTTTTATTTTAGGTGTGTAGATTTCACTTGTTAAAAAAACCAAACAAACAAACCAAAACCCCCTAACATTTCAAATAGAAATTATGCTCTCTGCTGTGGGTTGAAGAAGTCATGCCTGATGTGTGGTGATAAAGGGTGCTGAGGCACTGGAATTGGTTGTCCAGAGAAGCTGTGGCTGCCCCACCCCTGGAAGTGTCCAAGGCCAGGCTGGATGGAGCTCCAAGGTTCAGCCTGGTCTAGTGGAAGGTGTCCCTGCCCATGGCAGGGGGCTGGAATGAGATGGGCTTTAAGGTCCCTTCCAGCATGATTCTGTGTGGAGAGTGCTGCTCTATATGCTGGATTAATGCTTGATACATGTATATCTGTAATGAGATGTTTAAAAAAGCCAGGCCTCCAATACACTGAGAAAGACAAATGCGAGCTGATTTTGGAGGAAAAAAGTTTCTGCCAGAAGTATTATTATAATTACATGTTACTGTGTTCACTATTTCCGTGAGTAATGATTTCAAGTCCATTTAAACTATCTGAGATTAAAATTAGAACTGTTGTTCTCCTGTTTCTGGGTGCATGCTGAGTGCTTCAGAAGAGTAAATGCCCCATTACAGTAAAACTTAGTAAAATTTTAGAGTCATTTGCACTACACTGGGATTTTACACCCTATTACTGCTCTGAATTATCTGTCATTAGCCCTCATTAAAGGCAGATTTGGTTAGATGGACAATTGTCTATTGCAATTTGATTGCAAATATGTTGTTAGGCTTTCAAATGAATATTTAAAGTGGATCATTGCACAGTTTGCCTAGAAATTCTTTTTTTTTTTTTTATCTTGTCCTTCCTCTCCCTCCATCTTTTAAGGAGCTTCCACCCAGAATTCCAATGCAGTGGAACCTGAAAAGCAAGTTGACAGCACAGTGAAAATGGCTGGAGTTATAGCTGGTCTCCTGATGTTTGTTATTATCCTCTTGGGAGCAATGCTTACCATCAAAAGAAGGTAAGTTTCTGCTTTGCTTCCATCTTGGACCTCTTGTTGTAATTTCCAAAGGAAGAATAAATAAAGATAGAACATTCTTTCTGTGTGACAGAGAGCAGCAGTTAATGCCTGTGTAATAACACAGACACTAGGGGTGGTAGGCCCAGAAGAAATACCAGTTCTGGGAGATCCAGCAATAAAAGAATGGTTGTTACTGCAAGGAGATAATGATAATTAATTGATAATTAATGTCAAGGGATAAGTCACAAAGTAGCATGGGATACAGGGGATAAAAGGAGAACCTCTCCTACCAGGAAAGGCTGAGAGGCTTGGGATTGTTCAGTCTGGGGAAGAGAAGGTTTGGAGTGACCCAGTTGTGGCCTTCCAGTACTTGAAGGGAGCCTACAAGAAAGATGGAGAGAGACAGCTCACAAGGGGCTGGAGTGACAGGACAGGGAATGGCTTCAAGCTGACAGAGAGGAGAGTTAGACTGGATGTTAGGAAGAAATTCTTCCCTGTGAGAGAGGTGAGGCCTGGCACAGGGTGCCCAGAGAAGCTGTGGCTGCTTCATCCCAACCTTTTTTCCAACACTTGAGTTTTCTGATGCTTTGGCTGTCATGACTGCTACAACCTAAGTTGTTATCTCCCAGATAACACAGACAAAGCCCCAGGCGAAATTACTCCTAATGCAGAATGAGTCCCAGAGGTGGGACACTGAGGATCCATTTGCTCTGTGTGAAAGTTGCCAAGCTCCTGCTGAGCTGAGCTGGCCCCTGAGACGGTGCACAGCACCTTCAGCTGGACTTGCCAGGTCCCTGGAGCAGCAATGTCTGGTGAATTTGGGTGTGATGTCCCACGCACAGAACTTTGCTTCAGCTGGTTTTGCCATAGGCTCTGTAAACCTGGGCAATTTTCTTCAAAGTTAACATTGGAAAGGAGGTGAGTGGGAGTATTAGAAATCTAAATTCTCCCCTTTTTTCCCTAGAGCTGGAAAATTACAGTTTCCTCTGTGTTGTTTCCACAGCCCCTCCCGGGGCAGACAAGCAGAATCCCTGCAGTCTGTGTCTGTTTGCTGCAATTTGCAAGGATACCTGCTGGAAGACACACTGAAATAAGGAATAAACTGGCTCATTGACTTTAAAATCTTTTCCCATTTAGAAGCTCTGAGTGCAGGAGGAGGTTTGGGAGGCTGTAGCCCATCCAGCACCTCCAGAGCTGCTGATCACATCCCTTCTGGGCTCCCTTGGATGGGCACCACCAGCCACATCCAGCTGGGACTCGGAGCTGCATATGGACAAGTGTTCCCTGAGGACGAGCCTGAGCCTGTCAGGCTTGTTGCATTTGTAAACTCGTGTGGGTTGGGACCAGCTTTCATAAAAGGAGAAGCTGATTTGGACCATAAATTGATTGGAACTTCTGGAGGAGCAGAGCTGAAAGCTTGAGCTCTTCTGAGAGAGCAGTGTAAAAACAGAGTTATCTTTTTGTTTTGCAAACAGGAGCATTTGGAGCTTAAGCTCTTGCATTGCATTTTGCACTAGCCTCATTTTAAAAACAGTTCCCTTCCCAGTGCACCAGGGCCTTGGTGTACAAATAGTGTAGCCTTGCAAGGCAACAATTCAGAAAAATAATTTAATGAGCTGAACTTGAAATGTCTTCAAATGGAGATGGAAAATATCCCAATGACATTTGTCCATTGTCCAGGGCATCACAGTTCATTGGCACAGGAACAGGCACAGGACTTCCTGGATGAAGCATTTTTTTAACAGAGAGCAGAGGAAGCAGAGAGGGATTAGAAGAGAAGGAAGACACAGGTTTGAGATAAACCTGGGTGTCATCAGGAATCTCTTTTTGTTCCTGTGGGACTCACCAGATTGGCAGCACGCTGCTTGGAACCTTCCAGACACAGAGCATGAGCAAGCAGTGCTCAGCTGCTCACAGTTTCAGCAGAACAAATTGCAAAATTCCAGGAACTCAAAACTTTCAGGGGGCTGATAAAGTTTTAGAAGGTTCAGTCAGATATGTGACGCTAAATTGAGCCAACCAGTGTATTTATACAGTGGAAATTTTTTGATGTTATATGCGTTGTCTGAAAGTTTTAGTTGCAACTTAGGGTTGTCTAAAATTTGCTAAAGTTTCCTTATCTATATATCTATGTCAAAATTGTGTGTACATATAAATTTCTGTTTTAAACATGACTGTCTTGCAGTATTTAAAATCAAAACCATTAACAGTTTGTTTTCTTGGTTTTGGGAACCCACTGACTCCAGGAGTTAAGCCATAGTATCATCATTACATGTATATGAAATATAAAAATTGCTGCAACATAACGGAGAGAAACTTCACACAAGGAGATGTCCTGCTCACACAGGCTTCAAACTGAGAGAGATTAAATTTAAATTGGATATCAGGAAAAAATTCTTCACTCTGAATGTGGGGAGCCCTGGCACAGGGTTCCCAGAGCAGCTGTGGCTGTCCCTGGATCCCTGGCAGTGCCCAAGGCCAGGCTGGACACAGCTTGGAGCAGCCTGGGACAGTGGAAAGTGTCCATGACATGGCAGGGGGTTTGGAATAATTTTTATGGTCCGTTCCAACCCAAACCACTCTGTGATTCTGTGATAATTTAACCTGGTAATTTAGAGGTGGTTATCTGAGCTCATATGAGTGTATGTGCTCACAAAAGGCAGAACAACATTCTTTCATTAACAGATACATATACTGAAATATCTCATTTTTATTGTATGAAAATATTTGTAATTCTCTAAGGAGCTTATGGGGTTTTTTTTTCCCTTAATATTATTTAAATACATTTGTGTAACAGAGTATACAAAATCATTTTGTAAAAACAAAACAAGAAAAACAAGATTTTTTTTTTTTTCTGGAGAAAATACCCTTTGACTTTGCCCCTTCCCAAAGTATTTGATTTTGGTCTGTTCTGATCTTATCTGGGCAGTTTTAATTCTGGTGTAATCGTGACTTGTATTTCCCTGGAGTGAAGAATGTGACACCTCTCAGGCTGGTGTGTTTGACCAGACAAAACCTCCACTGACCCCTTTAAATATAAGACTGAATAAATAGGATCAGACAGCCTGTCATGGATGCACTGTAAATAAGTTCTTTAAACTGCTGTCGGTAGCAAAAAAAGGAGATTTGGGGCTCTGTAGGGTCTAGGATTATTTCCTCCTATGAAAATTCAGCTCCTTATTCTAGATTAAGATTTAGGTGGTTGCCTTAAACTAATTAAATAAAACCCCAAAGCCTCTTGGGCAGAACATACCCAAGCTGTAGGACAGAATTAGGAAAAGGGACATTTGCACATTGAGTGACCTGTGTCCCCCCATCCCTGTTTCAGGTGGGAGACAGGCAGGGTTTGGGCTGTGTTGTACATTCTAGGACCAGGTCATGTTTTCACTGAACCATAACTCTGACCAGTTCTCACAGTTAAGCTTTGAAATATTCTTTAGTAAGTCCTTATTTCAGGCTGCATATTTTGGGAGAATTTGAACCAAAATGTCCAATTTCAAAACACAATTCTCCTTTTGTTTGTCTTCCTTTATTTTCTGTCCTTGTGGAGCGAACCTTTCTGAGCTTTCCTCTGCAGCCTGGAGGGATGTGCAGCTTTTTAATGAGGGCTGAGAGTCTGGTGTGATCCCAGATGTCTGTGGCCCAGACAGGAGAGCAGCAGAAAGAGCAGGAGGATGTTCAAGGGAACACTTCCAGTCAATAGAGCCGTGTGAGCCCTGGTCCTGGCCTCTCCCAGGGCTTGGTTTAATGGAATCATTTTGGGGATTTCAGGGGTTCAGCTGCATGTGTTCTCATTTTCTACATCTTGGTCACGTTTCCCTTTGTTTAGAGGCTCAGTGGAATTCAGATTTTCACAGGGTAGCTCAGTGGCAATCACTGCACCTTAACTGGTGCATTGCTGGGTCCTGTAAAATTGCTGCCTTCAGGAGATAATAGCATTTAGTTAAAATACATCCAGGTGTATCATGGAATCAGTGCCCTTCAAATAACGTGGCATCATCAGGAACCTGGCCAAAATAGCAGGTTTATAGCAAAGGCCATCATCAGGAAAACCATGCCACTTCAGTTTAATCCTCGTGAGCTGCTCTTTACCCCACGTGTGCCCAGTACAGAGGGAGACTGTGCACACAGTGACTGAGCTGAACCTGGTTTCCACGTGTGCTTATGATGGAAGTTGTGTTCAGAGCAACCACAAAAGTGAACACTTGAAAGCTGCATTTGTATTTCTAAGTGATTCCCAGTCATCCTAGTATCTTCAAGGATGGGATTTTAAAGCTGTGCAATAGGTTGAAGTTTGTGTTTCATCTTCTCTGTCTTGACCACTGCTGCTGCTTCTGTGGCTTCTTGTGGCCGATGGTGAATCTCTAATACCCTGGGCTAGGTCTGTCGTGAACCAGTCTTTTCAGAGAAGCCCCTTGCCAGCTATGAAAGGGTAAATATAACTTCTTAAGCTACAACTGATTGCCAAGGCTCAGTTTGTGGTGCTGCTCAAAATGTTGTGAAATGAATTGTTGAGAAACTGTGGTAGAAAATGCTTAATCACAGTGATGCAGAAAGCTAATGCATGCCCCCAGTGCTCAGCTATAAATATGGAGTGATGCTTGAATTGTTAATGAACTATTTGCATTTTAGAGTTTGATGAAGCTTGATTTATCATTAGACAATTTGCTCATTGTCTAAATATTCCAAAATTGTGGCGTTCTTACATTGTCACTTCCCTATTTATTGTTATTTGTATTAATAGCTCTGACATATTTCTTTCCATTTCAAAAATATCAAAACACTTGAGAGGCAAAATTAAGTCTCATTGCCCATGGTACTGACATGATAAAGTGAGGCAATTAAAGGTGAGGGGATTTATTCTTGGTGGCAGAAGTGGAAACACAACCTGTCTCCAGTTCAGTTTCTATTTATTCCTCACCAACACACAGCTCCTGAAACATGTCTAGGCAAACAGGATCTCAGTACAGAAAACAGCACAAATAGTTTGTATATTGAAAAGGAAACCTGGAGTTCATCTAAATCTAATTGTGTGTTTTTCTCTTTTTCTCCTTTTGGATATTTTGTTCATCTGACTGGTCGTCAATATTTAGAAGAAATGCATATTCCTACTCCTATTACTTGTAAGTATTTGACTGGGGATGAGGTTTTTTTAGCATGTTCACCCTGTGGTAATTTTGGGCTTTATTTTTTTCTTTTTGTTTCTCTTTTTCTTTTTTTTTAATTTTTTTTACCACTCCATTTATCCTTGTCTTTCCGGCAGAATGTATTTTATTTTCCCAGTTGCATGCTGTTTTCTCCATTTTCCCACTGCATCTGTAGCTGTGCCTGCAAAAATATGAATGTCCACAGATATGTCACTTATGGTTTATAACTCTTCAAACTGGATATTCATCTTTAGATTGGATATCAGGAAAAATTTCTTCACCAAAGGGGCTGTCCAGCACCAGAACATGTGGCCCAGGGAAGAGATGGATCACCCTGAGGCATTTATTTAAAAGTTGTGTAGATGTGGCACTTGGGGACAGGGTTTGGGGATGGACACAGAAGTGCTGGAGGAACAGTTGGACTTGATGATCTTGAAAATATTTTCCAACATAAATGATTCTATAATTCTGTAAATGCTAATGGACAAATACAGAGTGTCCCCTTTTTAATTGTCCACTGCCTGTAGCCACGCTTCAGGGAAATTCACACCTGAAAGTTATTGTTGGGAATTTCTCAGCCATGGATGTAAGCTTTTTAAAAACCTTAAGGTTTCTGACCCCTGGGAGTTGACTTTATCCCAGCAAACATCCCTGTTCCTGGAGCTGCCAGGTTCTGAGTGTTGGTTTAGATCACTGGATGATGAAGTGGTTCAGATATTCAGATCTAAATCACCTGTCCAGTCCTAATGACAATGCTGCATAATTAAGGCAGTTGTTAAGGCACATGAAAATGCTTCACACATCAGTACTTCCAGAGCCATCTGTTGCCTAAAGATTGAGGGGCTGGGAAGCAATCAGGGCCAAGCTGTTTCTGCTGTGATAATGGTTGTCTGAGGATCTGGGGGAGGAGAAGGCTGGATCAATGATGTGAGGAAAAAGTCCTGGAGAAGTGAGTAGAGGCCTCTGCTGCCATCAGAGGGCTGGGAGGATGGAGAAGGCAGCTGTTGCTGTGGGCAGGAACAGCTCTGCCCTCTCCAGCTCTCAGAAGCAGCAGGAGCTCTGTCTCTGACACCAACCCTTTCCCCAGAACCTGCCAGGCTTGTCAGGGCTCTGAAACCCACCGGGCTGTCCAAAGGGCCACATCAGCCCTGACAGCCCCTCCTGGTCTGCTGCTCCAGGAACTGCTTCCTTTGCCCCTTCTGCAGTTCCTCCTTGTCTCATCTTGGTGCTTTTTTCTGGAAGGAGTTCAGCAGGTCAGCAGAATGAGAGGGTTCATGTGCTGCTGTGTTAAGGGGAGCTGATTTCTTTTCCATATCAGTTGTTTTATGTCCAAACAACAGGGCAAAGGAGGATCCCCATGCACCACTGCTTGGAAAGATTTTGTTTCTCCATGACCTGTCAGGAAGCTTTTGAGAGAGGAACCTTTCCCACTTTCCAAACATGTGAGGAGCCTTAGGACACCATCACGAGTCTTGACTTTGCCCAGTGATGTAATTGTAAATGCAGAGTAACTCCATTTCCTCTAGACCTCCCACTGGTTCACCAAGAATGGAATTGGACCTCAAGTAGTCAGATTAAAGAGGAGATTAAGTATAAAGTAGGGGCTGGTTCTAACCCAAAGGTGCTACAAGCTAGTTGAATTTATTGATAGAACCTTTCCTCTTCTGCACATTTCTCATGTTTTACTGTTTGGTTTCCTTACAACCAATAGCACCACTGCCTGAGAAATTCACTGCCAAGTTTCCCATTATAATTCTGTCTTTTTCCGGCAGTATGTGGTCAGCATGTTCCCTGCTTCATTTTATTTTGAGATCTGTGTGTTTAAAAAGATGAATCAACTTCCGAGCCCTCTGTGACCCATTATACAGCTGCACAACATTGCTTTAAGCAGTCAGCTGAGGATTGTTCTGCCAGAGCAAGCACAGGGGTCTGTAAGGGGTCTGTTTGCTGTGGGTCAATTTGCTAGACCCTTTTTCCTCAGGGAGCAGTGCAGTGACTCAGGAAAAGTGAAGAGAAAACCCTCTGGAGGGTCAGCAAGCCTGGGGTTGCAATGAGCTTCAGCAGAGGCAGAAGGAAGGGCTTTAATAAGGTGTAATGAGGCAGATGCCCACCGTGCAGCACATCACACCAGGGAAAAGCCAGAGGTGCCATCAGGCAAGCTGAGTGTTCACAGGAGCCACTGAAGGTTGGAGCTCAGCTTGCAGAAATCACGGAGCTTTTTCCCCCCAGTACCACACCCAAAATGTCCTGCAAAGAGCTCACTCTTAGCTCTGTGCTGGTGCTGCCCCAGGGACCAGCAAGCTGGAGGCATCACATCTGCAGTCACCTCACCAGAAACACTGCCAGCACCAGGCTCTGCCTGCCTTGGGTCACATGGACATCTGCTCTGTCCCCTGCACTGCGAAAACCAAGCTCCGGTTCGGATTTTTTCCCCTTGAACAACAATCAAGGTAAAAAGGATGTTCTAGTAGTGAGGGAAGAAAGCAGGAGAGCCCATGAAGGAGTAGACAGTGAAGTTCTACTGAATTTCATGTTTCAAGTTTCACATGAAATAGAATTGCAGATGAAAATCTGAAATTGCTAAGGACTGTGAAATTCTTAGCCAAACTTGATTCATATTTCTCTGGACTCTTATGAGCAGAGAGGTTGGAATGAAGTTTATTTGAAATGTTGTGGAAATAACAGCAGCAGTATGGTTATATACAGATTTTTTTAAAAATAGAATTGGTTTCTATGCTATGACCTTGCATGAATTATTTAGTCCTGAAGCAAAATTCAGTTGAATGAGTTACCAGTATTGAAAAGCAGATTCCCAAATAGATCTGCTGGCAGATCTTTAAATGTGACCATATGGACTGTATCCCTTCATGTTTGGTTTCAGTTTCTGGACTTCAAAGCTGTGTTTCTTAGAGCAATTCTTGTCTGCTTTCAGATAATTCCTCCCAACCCTTTGTCATCTTCTGTACAGGCATTTCTTCTTATTAGGGACCAAAATCTCCTATCCTAACTCTTCCAAACAGTTCTGTAATGATAATTCTATAATGATAATTCTATTAAATTCCAAACAGTTCTGAATGATAATTCTATTAAAGTCACAGAGACATTTGTGAGGAGTATCTGGTCTTTACAGAGACAGGCTACAACATTTTGGTAGTCTCTGGACTGCAGTTCTGCCCTCAGCCAGTCTTGTGTTCTGCTGCAATTCAGGACTGGAAAATCTGATTCTGCGGGATGGTTGAGTACCTGCAGCTCTGACTGGTGAAACCAGTCCAAAATATTCACTTACAGGAGCAGTTATTTTGGGCATGCATAGTTATTAGGTAAATAGTTGTGGGATTCTTGTACAGCAACACTTGATTGAAAACTTCCTACAACATACAGAAAGATGAAAGAGAAGGCCATAAAGATCTTTAACACGCTTTAAGTGGAAATACAACCCAGGAGGCCTCGATTCTTAACTTGTAACTCATCGTGCAGGATCAGCATCATTTTGTGTCCTTCACGTTACCCATCAGCAAAGGCTGATTGCTTATGGGTTGAGATCCTGTGAGGAGAAAGAGATGGAATTAGGAATTCTTGTCCTGGTGCACTCCTTGCATCCCTGTGCCCAGGGTGATGCCTGAACCTTTTCAGAGGAGTTACTCTGTATTTACACCCACACAAATGGTGTCTAAGGTTGGGACAGAATTGCTGCTGTCTCTCTGCACTTAAGTTTAATGGGCAGTGTAAGATATCAGCCCAGCCAGCTCTGGAAGATGTTGGTTTTACTCCCAGCTAAAGCTGTAAAACAGACAGCAATTCATCCAGTTTACAGAAGGGTTTGCATCTAGTGACAGACACCTCTTTTGCAACAGTATTTTCAACTGCAGCAATCCATATCATGATTTTATTATTTGCTCACCAGGAAAATAAATGGAAATGTTTTCTGTGTGTGGGTTGTTTGTTTTGGTTTGTTTCTTTCTCCTGGGCTGGGTAATGGCTGCAGAATGAAATTTAATCAAGAGCAATATGAGACCAGGGAAGAATTTCTGGAAATACAGAGATTCATGTATGTGTTACAAGCACTCAGTTTAATGTTATTTATTAGAAAAGGGCACTCAATGGCCAAGATGTTTTCCTTTTTCCCTGAACTGCGCAGAGCTCCAGGGACATGATTGCAATATAAGAAGCCCCTTCAACTCCCACTGGAATTTCACACCAGTTTTAATTGTTGGGTGGTTTCAGCTGGGAGTTTCTTTACATGGGAGAGATTGCAAAGGTTATTAAGCTAAATTTATACTTAGATTTTTTGAGATAACAAAGTTTGTGCTGAATTTATTGCCACCATCTGTGGGATATTTGAAAAGAAAAACATCCCTTTATTTTATTTAGAAGCTTACCTCTGTATAACCACATTCACACATAAATATCTCCATGTATTTCCACGGATTGTGGGATCTGCCTGCACAGGTCAGCCTTCTAAATCAGAATTTTAAGAAGAAACATTCTCATTAGGTGCTTTTCTCATCAGATGATGGAAAAACAGGATCATTAATCAGTGGCTATGCTTGTCTAATGAAAGCAAATTAAAAAATAATATATCAAAATGCACAAAGTAGATGAGATGATATTTAGAACGTGTCTGTATGGTGATTGCAAGCCTAAGCCTTGCAGAGGGCAGGGTTTGTGGGTGTCTGTACCAGCAGGGACTAATACTGCATGGCTCCCACGTGCACCTGGCTTGTCTAAAGTCTGGTTGTAAGTAAAACTAAAAAATAAATACTAAAAAAAATCACCCACAAGCAGTGATTAATCTGATCAAGTGAAGCTTAGATCATACTCTCAAGAGCCTGTGCTTGTATACCTACAGTACAAAACATTCAGGGCATCTTTTGACTCATCTCCGCTTTCTCCTGTCTGTGAAGTTTGCTCTGTGACACTGGCCTTTGCTCTTCACTACACCTTTACTACACCTTTACTGCAGCAACCTCCCTGTGCTCCTGCCACAGCCTGGCTTCAGCAGAGCAGGTTAAAGCAGGTTCAGGAGGGGCAGGGTTCAGGAGGAAGCACACATTTAATCTGCAGCATGGAGCGGGTCCCCCAGTGTGTGACAGAGCACTGCTCTGAGCTCCCGCTCCTGTGGCTCTGCTCACACCCCTCTGGTGAGCAGCATTTCCCAGCCTGTCTGCCCCCCTGCCTTCAGAGATGGGCAGCTCCTCCCGCATGGAGCTCTCCCCCAGTTTAGAATGAACAGCCTTCCCCAGAGCTTCCCACTTCCCAGCCCCTGCAGGCAGCGAGAACAGCTCCCCTCTGGTGTCTCTTCATGTCTGAAGACCTACCAGCCCTATTTGATTCTCTAGATTAAAGGTCCACATTTCCTTTGGCCTTTGCTTGTAGATCGTGTTCCCACCTTTACCTTTCGTGTCCTCCTTTGTGTGAGCCCCTGTGGCACATGTCTGATTTGAAGAGCAGTGTTGTAGCAGAGCTCTCTCCAATCCTCAGTCAGAGCAACAGGATCACCCAGATTACAGTGCCATGCCCTTAGTTTCAAACCAGCCTGAAACCATTCTTCCAAATTGGATTTGTCATCTACCACAGGTTTAGGGCACGGAGATCCTTTCCAATACCTCTGCTGTTTGACCAGTGCTCCCTGGGATTTGCATGGCTCATCACTGCCTGCCTTGAATTGGAGCAGATTCCATCACAAATTACAGGTGTACTCCTAGGAGTTTGCAAGGCACAATTCTCCAAACGGAATTTTTTTTTTTTCGACTTTCTCAAATTGCTTATTGAAAATGAGGACAATATGCAATTTGTGTCTGTGGGAGGAAATTTCATGTTTAACTTACATGATCTATACCTAATGCCTAAATTACCTGTGCATGCAAATCTACACCACAGTGTACAAAATCCATCCTTGGAAACATCTAAAATTAAATCTGTCAACGTACATGCACGAGAGTTCTCCAGGAGTGGCAGTTACAGATTTAATGTTCATGCATGTAGAATTGATAGAGGAAGTTAGAGAAGAGTTTGAAGCTGCTTTTAAAAAATAATCCCTGACAGTCATCCAAACCTCCATGAAACAGGAATCTGATCCTGCAGATAGTTCTAACAGAAAATATTGCTGGAGCCTCCTGATTAATGCCTGTGGCAGTAAATGGTTTGTGCTTGATACCAAGTTTGCATTCCTAGACTGTTTAAGTAGAACTCCCACAATTTTAATACAGTGCTTCAGATTTTATGTCTAGTCTCTGATATGAGTAGAAGTTTCAAAAAAATAACCGAATCAAATCTCCATCATTTTTTTCCCCCCGAATTCACACTTACTTGTGTTCACTGCCAATGGCTTTTCTCCTTGCTTTAGTGGGGTCAACATCAACTGCCTGATTATACAGCTGGTTTCATTTTTTCATTCAGTTTTGAACATCTTTCTGTCTCATCCCTCCTCTGTGTGTGTGGTGCTTGCAAACATCATCTCTTCATTTCCAAACCCTCTCAAACTGAAAAGAGCAACCTGGTAAACTCCACCCATGGATTCCTGCTTCCTTCTTGCCACATTTCCCTTACCCTTGGATGTAAACCAGCATTAAGGTCATTTTATTCACATCCTGACATTTTGTGTTGATTGTATCAGACTCTTCTTCCCAATATCTGCCTGGTCCTTTATTTCCTCCCCTTTTCAGCTGCATATTGCATGAGTGGGGAAGTGTCTGCTCCATGAGGGGTGTCAGCTGTGCTGGGGACACTCTGGGCACGCAGCCAGCCCATGACTGACACTGATGCTCCCAGAGCAGCTTTGTTGGGGTGTTGCAGTGGCTCTGTGCAGGGCAGAGGGGACAGCGGGAGCCGTGTCACCGGCGTGACTTGTCAGTGATTCACAGAGATCTCTTGGAGCGCCCTATTTTTGGAAACAGCATTTCTAGATAAATGCTTTTCCATTTCCAAAAGGCGTTTTGACGTGCTGGGAAATAAACCTCTACCTAGCTGTGGGTTTTAAGTCACATCCCTAACATTCTGGAAAGTGCTAGTCATTTGATTTTCTAATCTTTTCTATGAATTATAATGATGGCAAGGACCAAATAGGCTTAGTCCTGTGCTGCCACTCTCTCCAGACACAGAACGGCAGCAGAAAAGGCACGTTTAGAAACTGAGAGCCCCTTGATGTGTCTGGCAAGCTTAGCTCTGAAATCCTCAAAAGAGATCTGTCTTCCTTTTCCCTCTAAATTTAGATGAAGAATTTTTACATTCTTGGAACAGAGAGGGAGAAAGGTGGAAACTGATAAGGCGCTGTGGAAAGAAAATTGTAGCGTTGTCAGATGCAGACCTGGGTTGTGTGTGCGAGGTAGATTGAGAACTTTAAACTCATGTCACCTTTTCTTTTTAGGCATTCAAGCCAATGTTTTAGGGGCCTCTCTGTCTTCTACAGGACCAGGTAGAACTCCTTTGCATAGGGCTTTTGTAAGCAGGCCTTTGGGGACTAAGGGGCTTGGGTTTGGGGTTATTTTTTTCCTGCCTAGGACATGCAGAAATGTTGTTACTCATTCACTCAAAAGACAAAACAAGTTTGCCAATTCCTGCTCTTTGTAGCTTGTTGGCATTTCTGAAAAGATACCAGGCAATGGGGACTTACAGATAATTATTGCCACAAATAATTTAACTTATATTGAATGAGGAAGTCACCCCTTTTGACTCACCATTTTCAACCATCGGAGTCATGGTCTGTAGTGGCTCACCCCAGCAGTCCAGAGTGCTTTTTATTAAGGACTTCTGCATTTTGGATTAGTGTTTCCCACTGAGTTATTTTAATTCTTGTTTCCAAGGAATTCACACAGGCATGTACGATTAGCAAACCATCAGGATTAAAAGATCCGCACGGCAGGGTTAACACACTTCAAGGTTATTTTAGCTACCCCAGGTACCACAGCACAAAAAAAGCAGGGGCTCCCATGTCTGCAGCTCATGGTTCCTAAATCTGGCTGTGCCAACGCTGCTGAACACTGGAAGCAAAGCTTTTAACATCATTAAATGCCAGCTTTTTGCTTCATCACTCAAGGACTGCTCCCCTCTTTGCATCTTCATCTGCACAAGTGGATACACCACGGGGGTTTGGGGAGATCTGAGGAAGCCCCCTGGGATGATGGACCCAATTTGAACAGCTCTGGGCTTGGATTGGAACCACCAACTGTAAATGGCTGAACTGCAACTGGCTGAGCAGATGAAATACATGTGTTTGTTCAAAAGTTTGCAGCAAACATCCAAGTTTTTTTCCATAAATCTGTGCTCTCCTGATCTGATTATCTTTCTTTAAAACAGGCTTTTCCCACAGACACAGGCAAAGGATTTAGCTCGCTCTGACCCTTCTTTCCAAACAAGTATAAGTGGCCAAGCTGCCCATCTCCTGAAGGCTGGGGCTCAGCTATGTGCTTGAAACTTCCCTGTAAATGCCACTCTGACATGTTCTGAGCATAAATAGAGCCTGTTAGACTATGTTGGAAGGAGTACCTTTTTTTCTTTTTTGAATCTAATTAAGTTTAAAAGATGGGTAGTACTTACCATAAGCATGTTGTTTCAGAGAAGAAAAACCTCTTTGCAAAATGATTTAGTTGTTAGGATTTTTTTTTCTTCTTTGAGTTGGAGAAGAGAAAGAAAACTAAAGCTCCTTCTTACAGTAATCTGTTTTTCTCCCTTTTATTTTATTTTCTTATCTAGGGAAGTGGTGTAAGCAAAGTTCTTTGCTGGTGCTAGGGATTTGTGTGATATTTTTTCAAGGTATGGATTGTAGAATGTCACACATTCATTTTTAAAGGGTTTTGCTCTCTGATACGAATGAAGCACAGGGCAGTCAAATGTCAGTGGAAGCTTAGCAGCTCACTTTTCCTGCTTCTCCTCATTTTATTATGCTCTGTGTTTGCAAAAGAGGAGCCTCTTATGTTCTCAGCTTTGTTACTGTTTCCAGAGCAAGCAGCCTTGCTGCTTTTGACAAAGTTTTTGCTGTCTCCTCAAAACAAGAAAAGACCCATTTTCCTGGAACAGGGCCATTTGGACATTGCTAAAACAACTTCAACCTTCAGTGTGCCCCACCCTTCCCTGGCTGGGGATCCCAGAGCAGTTCCAGGATGTGTCAGGACTCAGGAGGCTGCTGCCCTCACTGCTGTGCTGGGGACAGGACAGAACTCTGCTCCAGCTCTCAGGTGGCACAGAGCCAGGTCTCACACTCCCTCAAAGAGCATCCCATGGGATGGATGCAGATGTCCTGGTCCCCTGGAGTGAGCAGTGCTCCCATCCCAAGCCCTCTGCTCCTCCTGGAGCCCATGGCACCTGCTCTGGGGGCTGGACCTGTTCCACTCTCTCCAAGGCACCTGCTCCAGGGTTTGGACATATTGCACCTCTCCAAGGCTGAGGTAGCACTCCCACTGCTGGGGTGATGCAGGTTTGTGCCAGATGAGTGACGGGGAGGGAGAGCTCCAGGCTGGTATCACGATATTTATCGCGCTCCAGAAGCTGCATTAAGAACCTGTGGGGTTTCCTGGCAGGCGGTTTGTCACATGCCTTGCATGTCTGACCAAGTGGGGTAATTTTGTCAAAATATTTTGCCATTGCTTTGCTTTTAACGAGGGCAAACTGACCTTGCTTTCTCCCCTCTCCAAACCACCCAAAGGAAGCTAGCCAAGAAGCAGAAGGAGACTCAGACCAGCACGCAGAGGGAGATGGGTCCTGTGGCTACTTCTGACAAGACCTCCACCAAACTCAGTGCTGTTCACAATGAAGAAGCTTTTTCTTCCAGCTGCCAAGATGTTAATGGATTCAGTAAGTTTAACTTGCTTGCAATGGATATGACCCCCTTGGAGAGCTCTAGGTTCTTAAAAGGACCTATTCCTTTGGGCACAGTGTTGAGGAGTTAGGAATGGCAGTGAGAGAGATCGTTGCAAAAGCTCCATAGAAATCTGGAATGTCTCTGATACTGCCCCTGGTTTCACTGACAGACAGGTGGAGAACAATCCCCTGGGTCCAAATCTACTGAGAATAATTTGTAAAGCCTGTTCTAATAACTGCATCACAATAAGAGGCACATGTTTATTTGTTGTTTAGAAATACTTTTCCTTTGTGAGTAAAAGAGTCAAATCCCTTAGCTGTCTTGTGGGATGAAAAAACATTTTCCGTATGAAATTGTTATGAAAGAAGGCCTGGTCTCCTGGCTAGAGAACTGGAATGGAAAGCAGCATTTCTTCCTTTGTCTGTGTCCTCGGATTCAGTAAAACTGATCTTAGTTAACATTTGTAAACCACTCAGACCTCTGTAGCTAAGAGTTTTGTGGGTAAAGCAGCACCAACTCCTACTTTAGCCTCACTAGCTGCAGGTTGAGTGCATGGTGGATTGCATGGTGGATTTGTAAACTTTTTTCGTATTAAATAAATTGAAACTTAGACACTATGGGCATGTCACTCCTTCTTTTGACATTCAGCCTGTTAGTTTGGACAAGGGACAGCTCTGAAACTCAAGTGTGTACTAAAACTCTTGTCTTTATTAAGCATCTTTAGTGAAGGGTTTTTTTCCCCCAAATAGTAAAATGGAAGATAGAAAATGTGGTTTATCATTGAAACCCCCCCCTGTAATCTGACCCTGAGTGGGACAGGTTGAGTGAATTCTTCCTTTCCCTCTCTGCAGGTCATGTCAAATTCCATCTGCATGTGCTGCTACTGCCACTTTGTGTAACACACCTGTGAGATGGATAAATAGGAGTGTGGGACAGCCAAGGCTGGCAGGGAACACTTTTCTCTGATGTTAAATTGACTTCAGTCAAGATCTAATTTTCTCAGGTGCTGAGTAGCTCTGTCCTAAGGAGGCAGCAAGAGTTCTGTGGGGTTCCTATCTCTGAAGGCCAGGAGAGCAGCAGACAGTGTTGTATCAGCCATCCCCAAAACAGCAGAGGCAGCTTGGCTGGAGTGTGGGGAAAGTCAAGTGTTTGACACTTCCCTCAGAATCAGGGCTTCCCAAAGTTTGGGGATTCTTTTTCCAACCAGAAAATTAGAAAAGAGACAAGTTTAAAATGTGACCTCATCTTTCCCCCCCCCCCCCCCATCCTTGTTGACAGACTAATTAAAACAGCTGAGTCATTTGAAATGATAACTGTAGAAAATATGATGTATCAAGTTTTGTAAAGAAACAGCACTCCAGGTTTTCAATTTTTTCAATCAGTTAGATGTTTACTTGTCTGACATCTCTGCAGATTTTATCACTGCCTTCCCCTATAACCTGAGTCAGTCATGGGTGGATGGTTTTTTTCCCCTCTTTATATCTATGAGAAAGAATTATCAATAAACCTTCATGATTTCTCCAAATTTTTTACTGCTAAGTCCGGGATGCTGAGGTGTTGGAGGTAAGTTCTGTGCAGTAGTGTGCACATGCTGATACAGGAATTTTATGGGTAAAAGAATTCCTTGAAAAGAAAAATAAAATAAATTGCCTTAATGGAGTTTAATACTTGTGGGTTCTATACAGGCCTACTTTGGAATAACATAATAGGATTATTTCTTAACCTTCCTGCTAACTAATAGTTTTACAGCGTTTATCCACCAGAGCTGTTGAAATCAACTGTCTTAAGCAGCAGTCAGACTCCTTCTTAAATTGTTTTTTTTTGCCTGCCAACAGTAAATAGCATTTACAGCACCCCATGGTGGGCAGTCACCCTCTCCAGCCTGCCCTCAGCTGTGGAGCCTGAGCTGGCTGCAGCAGGGAGGTGGAAATGCCCTCTCCTTTTGGAAGAAGAACCCACCAAGAGAAGCAAAGTTTTCAATGCCAGGATCACCTTGCCAGCTCACAAAAGCAATCACACAGAACAAGACAATTAGCTAAGTAGGATCCCTCGGTTATTGAACGACTTGCAGGCAACTTTACCTGCAGAATGAAATGGCCTTGCAGGGCTTGTGTCCTTGCCCCCAGCTTTCAGTTTCTGTCACAATAATTCTGATAACTTTTCAGACAGAACAAATTCAGTGGGTGCCTACAGAAGCTTTTCTCTTCCCATGCTCTCTCCAGTTGGCCACTGGTCTGCTCCTGGGTGAGTCCTGTCCATCCTCCTGCTGTTCCTTACCCTGACTCCCTGCCCTGCCACCACACAGGACTATTTTCTAAATCAGTTAGGTTTAAAAACCCCACTTTCATGGGTGCTGCCTGATGCTCTGCACCATGAGGAAGATAAAGAATGAACAGCTGCCCTCTTCTTATCAGCCCCTTGTTTTCTTGTTGAGGCATCCAGACTTCAGGTCTTGCTGAAAAGAGGAAGAGAATTGGGCATTTATCTTTCCTGGCCTGAAGCAAAGCCCCTCATCCCTCTTTCCATTCTGCAGTGTTAGTTTTTATCCTGGCAGGATTCTCACTGATACATACAGGTGTTGAAATTAAAGAGATTTTTTTGGACTCAGTCTGTCTCTGACACTCCACAGAACCAGAGAAGGTGGTTGGTGAAACACAGATTGGTCTGTGGCTGTTCCAACTTGTCTGCTTTTACTTAGGGATTATGAACAATCACAGCTGGTCATTTTCTCAAATATCTTGGGCTTTTTTAAGATCTCAATATATCCCAACTCCTTGAAAGGCAGGTGATGGGCCTGGCAGTGGCTGAGCAGCTCCCTGGAGTGCAGGAATGTCGGGAAGCAGCACAGTCAAATGTAGACACTGGCTCAGGGCAGGGTTATTATGAAACAAGATGGGAAATGGGAAACAAAGTGGACCTAAATTAGCCCCCCAGTGTCTGCACTGACCAGAAAGGTGTGCAGGGGTTGTGACCATGCTGAAATCACAGACAGTTTGGCAGTGATGGGATGAGCAGCAGTGGGTCAGCTCAGCAGGGACGCACTGATGTGCTCTGCACAAAGAAACTGCTCTTCTGGCTTTGCAGCGCTCAGGTGCCATGGACCATCCTCGTCCAGGAGAATTCCCTATCCCCAGCAGAGCCATCCTGATATCCCTGCAGGGGTTCTGGCAGGAGCTGTTGGATTCTGAGGATTTAACCCATTAAAATGCAGCCAGTTTTGCTGGAGACTGATTTATTAAGGTGTGCTTTACCTGTGTGACATCTCAGTTTGGGGGCAGACAGCTCTCCAGACACCCTGCAGGAGGGACACAGATGTAGGAGTGGCTTTAATGCTTCAGACAGAGCATTCTGGAAGTGGGGGAACTGAGTTCTGCAGTAGGAACCACTACCACAAGTTACCAAGTCAGTGTGATTTCACTTACGAGAACAGGAAGATGAGAGGGAGGTGTAGGCAAGTGGCACCCAGGATTTAAGGGATCCATTTGTACCAAGAAACATCAAAACACCTTTCTACAATCCTCCATGATTTTATGATCAGTAAGATGTAAAGGTCTTCACAAAAGGCAAGCACAGCAAGATGTAGTTCTTACTCCTGCCCCATGGATAATTTTCACTCCTAATTAGGTGACCTGCCAAATGCAGTCTAAGGACTTGTAGGGTCGTGGACATGAGATTTCCTTTAGTAAAAAAATTCTTTAAATAATTTAAAAATAAAAGACAAACCCACATTTTATCAAAGGCATAAAAGGAAAATGTATTAAATTCCCTTTTACTGGCTTCCATGGGATTTTTGAGGGATTTGCTAGTTTAGGAAATATTATAAAAATTAAAGAATAATTTTCAGAATAGGAAGGAGCCTTCACCACTCTGCATGACTGGAGGGATCTGTGTGGCCTCACGTGCCACTCCAGGGAGCACAAAGAGAATTTTTAATCAAGTCTTAATCTCTACTCTGATGTGAAATCCTCTCTGGACATGTTTCCTTTGATTACAGACCCAAATGCCTGTGAGAAATGCTAGTTAGAAAGCAGCCCTGTGTATACATCTCATTATACAACCTGACTGATTTCAGGAACAAGTTCTCCAAAGTTTTAAGAAACTTCTCTTTTGTGATTGTGGGGTTTGGGGTATTTAAGTTTTGGTTTAGTTTTTTGGTTTGGTTTTTAATTTGTTTTGGTTTTGGGTTAGTTTTTTTCTTGGTTTTGTTTGGGTTTGTTTGAGGTTTTTGCTCTCTTTTTTAATCTGAATCTAAAAGTCACATCCCCGTGTCACAAACACAATTCATGTCATAGACCTCAGTTGGTAGCATCTTTAATCAAACCCACTGACATGAGGTGTTTATCTGGAAATTCATCCTCAGCAGCTCTGGAAAGGCAGTATGGCCCTAGGAGTTCTTTTATACTCCCAAATTCCAAAAAAACTTGAGTCCTGCCCCAAGCCCTGAGTGTGGCCTTGCCCTGTGACACCGGGCAAACCAATCGCTCTGTTTAGATCTTATTTGATATTATGTGAAACGTGGCCATGTCCTAAGTGTGGTGAGAAGGGTCTGATTTAGGCTGACAAAAGGGCAAGAGGCCCCAAAGCAGAAGAACTTCACGACTTAAGGCAGCAGACCAAAGTGTGAGGAATTTGATTGTTTTAATGTGTTTCCAAGTCATGTAGGTCTGAAAATAAGGGGTGAGAATGCAGAACAAGAGCAAGTTCATTAACTAGATGATTATAACCTGCTCAGGAGATAATTCTGACTTTATGGAACTCCCTAGACCAGTGACTTCTTTGGGTCACAGAATAACTTGAATTTTTTTAAGCAGTGTTTGCTCCATAGATACAAAAAATTGCTTCTGAAATTACTTTGATGTTCACTGAGTTTTATCTACTTCTGTTGGGCTATGGAATAGTTTTTCCTGTGTTATCTGTTGTCATCTTTCTGATGTACTGAGATTTGTATTAGCTTGTTTCCCAACATTCTGAGGAGGAGATATATAAATGCCTGTAACTCTGGGAGTGAATGCAGAGTGATAACAAAAGAATATGCCTTCAAAAGTGATGGATTACCATAAGAATGTGCATGTTTGCTGCTGTAGGTATAAACCAGCCTCATAAATTTACTATCAAGACAAGAATCTACCACGAAGATGTTGAGCCCTTCCTCCTTTCAAAAAATATTTTATTAATATGGAAATTTGTGGAGACTTGTCCAGAAAAAGTTAATGCTGTAATGGGAGAAGGCAAGGATTTTTGTCCTGCTGACAGAACCCAGCTCACAGGGGAAGGGATCATAGGATTTGCTATGAACAATCCTGGGTTGAAGAACAAGTCCCTTGTAATGTTGTAATGTTTTAACCAAAAAACTGCTACCCCACCTGTGTATTTTTGTGGTACATTGTGTTTGAGTAGGTTTCTTTTACTGTCAATACTGATTCTCTGTAGTTTGTATTTTGGGGGTAATTTTTGAGGAATTTCCTCTTAGAGACAAAACCCTAAGTTTGCTCCTTTGGTTAAAAAAAAAAAAAGAACATTTAGAATATAGACCTATGAGTGTAGCTCTGTGTGTATCCTATTTAGGAACACATTGATTTACAGTAACTATAATCCTATATTTGGGGTCTGGAGTGCTTATATTAAAGAAAATCCATCATGATGACAATGTAATAAATGTAATATGCATGTTGAAATGAAAAATATAATTCATTTTGATAAGCCTTATATATCCCATATTACTGTGTTCTTTGAGGAACATTCTCCCTGTTCTCTTTCTCTCTCTTAATATATGTCTAAAGTCTTTTCCTTATGTCTTTCCTACCTAGCATCACCCTCTCCTTGTTCATTTTCTGTCCAAAGCAAAACCCTTCAGAGCAAATCTATGTTGAATTCCTACTACTCAGGTACTAGTGCCAGACTTTTCTTTCATTCCTAAATTTTCTTTGCTTTTGTACGTTACCCAATATAACCTATAATAGACCGAGGCTTCTGAGTGTGAGACACAGCTAACCTTGTTTTCATTTTCTGTAACTTTTCTTTTTCTGTTGATCCTCTGTTGATTTCCATTGATCCCTGTCGTGTGGGTGAACGGAATTCCATCTCAAAGTTTCATCAGACACCGTCCCATCGACCACGCTGTTAGGTAAGAGGACAGGTATGGTGTGCTGGGCTGAGCTGGAGAGCAAACACACTCTTTGTGTCATGAAAATAACACCCCAAAGTGCTTGGCTTCCAAAATCAGAATTATTCCCGTGCTCGTGCGTTAATCAGAAAACTCTTGTTTCATTCACGTTTTGTTATTGCTGTTAATTGCTTTCAAAGGAAAAAAAAAATCAAAAATTAAGGTTTACTCATTTTTTCAAGTACACGTTGTTTCTTTTGTCAAGGAGATTTGGGGTTCTGGGCCCCTTTCCCACGCGCTGCCTTGCCTTAGGCTTGGTTCTGACCCAGCAGCTGGTTGTGCCTGTGCAGCTGGCACAGAACCACTGAACAGTTTGGGTTGGAAGGGATCTTTGAAAGCTCTCTATGCCATGGGCAGGAACACTTTCCTATAGACCAGATTGCTCAGAGTCCCATCCAGCCTGACCTGGAACGTTTCCGGGCATGGGGCATCTTCCACCCCTCTGGGCAACCTGTGCCAGTGTCCCACCCTTTTTATAGAAAGTTTTGTCTTTGTATCTAGTGTGAATTATCCTGTTTCCATTTAAAAACACCCCTCTGTGCTGTGTGTGAGGCTCGGCTGGACCTGCCTCAGGGGTTGCAAATTTAAGTGAGGATTTGCTTGTCTGTAGCAGGTGGGAGCCTGCAGTTTTGGGTGAAGTTGCATGTATAAAGGTCATTTGAAGAAATTCCTGGCTGGGTTTTGGGAAGTGGCTCCACCTGATTCTGTGTATGCTGAGAGTTAAATGCTAAATCTTTCAGGCACTCAGGTATGGATTTGAGAGGATAACAAAGGTCCTGAGAGGCAGAGGCTGCTCTGTGCCTCTATAAGGTATCAGAAAGAAATTCTCCCCTGTGAGGGTGCTGAGGCCCTGGCACAGGGTGCCCAGAGCAGCTGTGGCTGCCCCTGGATCCCTGGCAGTGCCCAAGGCCAGGTTGGATGTGGCTTGGAGCACCCTGGGACAGTGGAAGGTGTCCCTGGCCATGGCAGGGGTGGCACTGGATGGTCTTTGAGCTCCCTTCTCACCCAAACCTCTGTGATTCTCTGATTTATGAATTCCTCTGCTATGGAGCAGAAAGATGATGTGTGGCTGATCAGAATCTAGCCAGTAGGATTTATCATTTTGGATTATCTACAATAAATGTTCCTTCCAGACACAGTAATCTACTGTGACTGCTTCAAACATCACTCAGAACAGGGGGAAGGGCCACAGCTGGGCCAGGAAGAAATGAAATCCAGTGGCTGTTCCTTGGTTGTCACTTGGCACAGAGGCTTGGAGGGGCTGCCACAACACACACATCCATCCTGCTGCCTGCCAAAATGCTGATGGCAAGGAATGGGGCCTCTGAATGGGGCAGGGAAGGAAAGGTGTCCATTTCCCAGAAGGTTTGCTCTCATTTCCCTGAGGCTCAGTGTCATCAACAGAAAAGCCTAAAGGCAGGTTTCTTTTTTGGCTGTGCTTTAGAAACAAGGCCCTGACCTGCAGTTTGATGGAAGATACCAAACTCTCTCAGTCTGCTGTTTGGCATCTGGGAAAGCCTGGCCATTCTTTGGGGGAGCTGTTTACCCCCTTTGCCCTGATGGAATTAAGGTGTGAACTGCACTCTTGCTACTCTGAAGCTCAAGCAGCAATGAACAGGTTCCCTCTGTGCTTCTCCTGCCACACCAAAAGCCCCCAAAACTTTTAAACCCCCAAATTTTATAGATGAAAAAGAGGAAATAGGAATCTAATCAGCCTTGTGCTTATGTATTCAAAAATATTTCAAATTTCTACTAAGCACTATATCTGTGTAAGGATTGATATCCCTGTTTTCCACATGGGAAGTTAAGTACAGAGCACTTTTAAGACATGAATTACACAGACTGGTCACTGTCCCAGTTCCACCTGAATTTAACAGCCTGTGAAACAGCCTCTAACATTGGAGAAATTTCTGTCTTGTGACTTGCAGACAAATTAAAACCTTGGCGTTCTGGTTTCTCAGACAAATCCATCAGATGTTAGATGTTGCTGTATGAGCAAAATAAGTTTAATTTTTGATGTTTATTAATATTAATTCCCAGGGAAGAAAAACATATCTTGAAAAGGGATTAGTCATCCCACTACCAATATCTGTACCTGCAATTCAGTACTGTTTGTTCCCATCTATTATGCTTTCTGCTAATAAATGTTCTATATTTGCAGTACTGCATGGCTCCCTAGGCTTGGCTGTGACATGTAAGATACAGGAATTTTGGGATTTACTTCTATCCAATTCCTGATTAATATTTTTTCTGTGAATGCATGTTTTTAGCGAAGTTACTTTCTCTTCCAGTTGTGGACAACTCTGGATTTTAAATGTTTTGCTCAAACATCTTTACTAGAGAAGGGAATATCTAACACTAAAAAATACATGAGGTAGATTTCCACTTGAAGATGAGGTAGCACAGCCTTAGAGATTATTTTTGGGGAAAAGATTCATGTCCAGTAGCTCTTGAAGATGTTCAGGAGCTCTCATCAGGGGATCTCTGCAGGGGAACCAGAATGCCCTTCCCTTGCATCCATTGGCATCTCCTGGCAGCAGGAAAGGACACTGAGCCTTGTTCTTACTCCAGCTGCTCATGAGGATCCTCACAAGAGTCTCTACCCTCCCGAGAGGACAGGGATTTTAGTGCCTGCAGATGGGCAGAACAGGCAGAGAGAGCTCTCTGACACAAAGTCTCAGACAAAAAACTGGCTGTGCTTAGAAAGACATAGAAATTTTCCATGGATTTTAGACTTCTGTAGCTTTTTTGCCCACCCCTAATCAGTCTGCTGTGTGTACACCCCCAACCTGGCTTGAATGACTCAAAGATGTTAAAAATCCAGTATTGCTGCTTTAGCAGGTGCCTTTGTCACTGATTTTTTACTGTGGGATGAGTGATTTTTATGCAATGGGTGCTCAAAAATTCAATGGCTGACCTGCTCAGATGCATCAGAAGCCTTCCAGGCCAAGTCAGCCTCTAATAAGGAGCTGTGGGAGAGGTTTTCCCAGCACTTCTCTGTGCTGAGCTTGGCCAGGAGCAGAGTGAGCACCAAAGGTTGAGACCTTTGTAGGCTGGGACTTGAGCTGAATTTCTCTTACATTTCTTCCTGCCTGCAGAATTGGAAAACCCTTTCTTCCAGTCTTTAGTGGCTTGTGGTTTCACGTGGTGTTTTGAAGTTTCCAGATGTAGCTGAATGTCTCTGGAAGGTGGGTTGGTCTGGCAGCCTCTTTTCGCCAAGGAGGCAAAGAGAGATTTGGCTTGGCGAGCTCCACACATCCAAAGAGCTTCACAGTTATATTTCTACCAAATAATCCCAAATCATTGCCCACCTCACCAAAGCATCTTCTTTGCACCTTTAACAGGATTTTCTTCTATGTTACCTGATGAAGAAAATGTATGTAATAATTTTTATAAGATCAGAATGCTCTTATGTAAGAATACTCCTGTAATATTAGAATGCTTTCATATTCTTATTAGAATGCTCTTATAATATTAGAATACTCTTATGCTTGGTGTTAACCAAGTAATTCTTACAAAGTTCTAGAATATGTAAAAAAAAAAAAAATTACTTAAAAAAAAATTATGGATGTCTGGCTTCTTCATGCCTTTGAAATGAAAGGTGCACCCTGTGTGCTCTGTCAAGCCTGCTGTCAGAAGGCTTTGTTAAGGAATGTGCCCTTTCAGAGCTCAGTTGATATCATTAGATAAATGCTGTTTTGCCATACTTCTGTTGGTATTGTAGATAAAATATTAGAGCTGGGTATTTATCATATAATAAAGCCTTGACACACACAAAAAAAGCAAATTATTTTTCATCTTGCACCATATCCCTGGTGTAGGGGGAAGAGGTATTAGCCATGCTCTAGTCACCCTTGGAAGATGTCAAAGAATTGACAGCCTTTGCTCTAGTGTGGAGAGACTGGCTCTGTGTGTAATTAAATCCATCACAAACACCACTCAAAATATAATTTATTTTGTGCAAAGGGTGTCGTATCGCATCTTATCACTTGCCAAGGCTAAGAGAATAAAAAATATAAGCAGATATGATAGCCCTGTCATTTTAGTCACAGGAGGAATTTGTGGACGTTAAAGCAAAAGTTTTGAGAGAAGCTTCTGCAGTGTAGAAGATGACACAGGAGTGCAGCTTTGCTTTTAGTTGTGAGAGGCATGAGTGAGTTTTCTGGTCAGGAGACAACATGATACTCTATGCCCAGATAACCATTCTCAGTCTAACAATGTTTGCAAAACAAATGATCTCTAGAAAAGCATCTAAAGCTTTAATCCCTAGAGGTGCTCTGGGTGAGCAGGACCCCTCCCAGCAGCCTTACTGGGATGTTGCACAGAGCTCTGATCATACAGAGCCACTTCCACACTGGCAATCTAATTTCTCAGCTGCTCTTCATCTTATCTGTGACATTTATGGAGAAGTTCATCAGTTTTTCTGTGGAGGCAAACATATTTATTTTACTTGTCTGAGAAGCACAAAAGTACAGAACATAAGGTGGTGTAGCAGCAGGCAAGCAATAATAACTCACTGTCAGGGGTGCTCATCAGATGGGGGAAGATTCCACTGAAGTGACCTCTGCTCCAGCTCCTCTCTGTGTGCTGGACTCTGTTACTTCTTGGCACAATAAGACCTCAGGATTGATTTCAGCAAATTCATGATTATTTCCCCAGCAAAGACATTCACAAAAAGCACCATTTCATAGGCAGGGAGAAGTTGAGAATATGTGAGGTCAGCATTGTTACATTTGCTTACCTGCAGTTTCACACTAAACACGTGAGCTGAGATACCTGAAGAGTTTCCCAATCAGCCAAGCTGTGTAAGAGACAGGGAATCACTAATTTACTGTCTTCTACAAAATTTCAGGGTGTTAGGTGAGCTCTCAAGCTGATCACAGAGTGTTTTGGGTTGGAAGGAACTTTAAAGCTCATCTCCTTCCACCCCTGCCATGGGCAGGGACACTTTCCACTAGACCAGGCTGCTCCAAGCCCCGTCCAACCTGGCCTTGAACCTTCCAGAGATGGGGGATCATGAGAATGCCAGCTTCCAGAATCAAAACATCTGAGTTGGCAAAAGACATCTTAATATGGGGAGTAAGAGCAGCACTGAAAGGGTTACAAACAAGCTGGCAACACCCTTTGCTGTCACAAGCTGCTGATATTAGAAGCAGCTCTGTCATCAACAGCATGTTCCCAGCCACATGCAGAATACCTGCCTTATTTACAGCTGCACAAATAGAACTGTGGAAAATTGGAGATTGTTCTAGGAAGGAGCCGGAGCCCTGAGCAGCCTGCCCTAACGAGACTTCAGAAGCTCTCAATTGATTTACTTTATCAAAGAGAAACTGAAGAAGTGATTTGATCAGTGCCTGCATGGGTCAGGATTTCAAATGCTCAGAGGGCTCTTTAATCTAACAGAAGGTACAATAAGATTCAGTGCCTGCAATCGAAGCTAAGCAAAATCAAATTGCAATTAAGAAATGTTTAGTCAGCAAGGGTAATTAACTAGTGCCACAATTTTAGGGGTCAGAATGGAATCACCACCTCCTGAAATGTTTTAATTTGAATTATTTCTTGGAATGGTATTCCATCTATGGAATGCAGTGAAATATGATGGGGTGTGTTCCTATCAAAAGCACAAGGACATATGACTAGGATAAATGTGCATATGAAATATAATTTTAAAAAACACCTGATGCATGATCCTCCACAAGTGGTAGTTTCTAAGAGTGAAATATTTCCTGCAACTTTCCCATTAAAAAAAAAAAACCAAACAAACAAAAAAACCCATTATTTTTCTGTTTTGCTTTTCTCACTGAAAACTCACCAAAGGCACACATGCTTTATAGGCACTGCCAAAAATTTAGTGCAAAGTCTTGGCCAATTTGTCCTGCAAAGTCATTCTCATTGCAGGGGACTGGGGAAATGTTTGTGAGAAGTAGACAGAGAAAAGGGACTGTGGAAAATTACTTTAACTTGCCTTTAGTGCAACAATTAAAGCAGCAGCCTGACTTTGCTGGAATCTTTGTTGTCTTTCCCAGTAATAATGGTGCCAAAAGGAATGAGATGTGCGTTATATCTGCACACAGAAGGAAAAGCAGAGCCTGTTTGCTAGCCCTCCAAAGACTCTTTTGGTTGACTATCCTAGTGAGAGATTAGTTTGCTGCCACTTCCCCTCCCACCTGCATTTTGGATTGTTCACAAAATTGCCGCAAACACATCCTGAGAGGTGCAGGCCTCGCTGAGCGCCTCATTACCGCGCTCAGCTCCACACTCGTGGGGTGATTAGATGGAGAGGGAACAACGTGTAACCTGCATCAGGCTTTATTATCAGAACATGGAAGTGTTAAGCTCAGCTCACACACAGCAATTTGTCCCCAAAAAAGCTCGTCTACATCTTCCTTGGCCGAGATAAAATGCTGGTAGGAGCAACTGAGAGTCCAGAGCTGCTGCTGTTGTTGGGGTTGGGATGTTGTTGCAGGCAGCACAGGTGCCATGCATGATGTGTTTGTCACAGAGGACTGGAGGAGGTGATGGCCTGAACAGTTTCAGCTGTGTGTCCCAGGGTGGAGAGGGGGGTGACCCACATTGCGTGATGCTTTTCTTCAAGCAGAAACCCTTGCTGAGTGAGGCACACGTGGTGCTGCCACAGACCACACTTTGCATTCTTCCATGTGGTGGTGCTGAGGCCCTGGCACAGGGTGCCCAGAGAAGATGTGGCTGTCCCTGGATCCCTGGAAGTGTCCAAGGCCAGATTGGACAGGGCTTGGAGCAACCTGGGATATTGAAATGAGAATGTCCCTTCCATGCCCAAACCATTCTGAGCTTCTGTGCCACAAGAGCTGTTCCTACAATCAGAGGGATTTGTACCAATTTTTATCTCATTGACCAAAGAGACCAGCTGTCACTATGGACTCAAAGGCCAGAAACAGACCCCTCTTTGCTGCTGACCACCTTCTTCTAATCCCACCTCCACACCATGAGTACCTACCTTAAGAGAAGTTATTCTGGAAAGAACGAGCCACTTTCCTGGCTTTTACCTCTCCCTGTGACACATCTCTCTGAGAAGAGAGCCAAGTACACCAGAATTAAAGGAACTGATGAAGAGAGAAATTAGTAATTGCCTGCAAAGCAGCTGGCTGATCTGAGCTCCATTTTACAAGTCGCCTGTGCTCTGCATGTGCCCTGCCCGAATTAGCACCAGAACCACACATTAGTTTTAAGACTCCCTCTCGAATTGGGATCTCGTAATGTTTTTTAATTGGGGCTGATAAAAATGTGGTATTACTTGCAGGTTCCTCAGAGAAGCCAGTTGTGAAATTGGGTTTGTATTAAACCTAATGATGGAAAATTAAGCATAGTACGTCTGTTGGAAATGGTCCGCGATAAAAATCTTCTCCTTTTCATTACAGGAGGTTAATAGGGAATAGGGGAGCAAAGATGCACTGGGAAAGCGAATCCAACTAGGGGAATTAATAAGCCTTGAAATTCCCTCTGTTCAGAGTTCTCACACTGTCATTAGTCAGAGCATTAGGGATGATTATACAAATGCTTTGGATGTTACTCTTCCTTAAATCCCAAATTTATTCACATTTTGTGTTTGAGGGTTGCTTTGCTTGAGCCATAGTTCTGTAAATCTGAGTGTCCTGGGAATTGACTGTGTTTATGAGAACCTGGCACTCAGAAATCCTGAAATTCAGGAGTGTAATCTTCAAAGCAGATGATCACTGTGCTAATTTATTTGGGAGGAGCAGGCTGTGTTCAGCATCTCTGACAATTCACCCCCCTACCGTGTTGATGTCCCACTGGTGATGAGCTTGCCCTGCAGCAGTGTCCACTGCTGGCATTCCTATCTCCTCACAGTCCTGCAGCTACCAAACAGAGCATATCCCTGCTTTCACATCTTCCCCTAATCTAATAATAAACCAGCTGAATTGCTATTTGTCATGTCTGTGCTGAGGACACAGTGGGATGCCCTCAGCTCTCTGTTCCTGCCCACCTTTGCAGGACGGACATGGGCAGCCCCTGCCCAAACACCACAGTGGTTTCTCAAGCAGAGCAATGTTTACAAGAGCATTCCAAGATATTTCTGCCTCACAGAAATTACCCTGAAATTGCAATTTGATTTATTTATTCTTTATCCCTTTAAAAACGTGGCCGCAGTGTTGCTCTCAAGGGGTGGTGTCTCAGCTCTTTGTCCGAGAACTTGCTGTAAGAAACAAACCCTGTGTGTGAAAGCTCACGGGGGTTTGGTGAACAATCTGAGGGAGGTGCATTTTCTGTTTGCCTATACCTTGGTTTGGGTAAGGCCAGAAAGAATTGATGCAGGTTTTATGTGTGAAAGGAGCTGAGCATCTCAGATCCCTGCAGTCCTAGGAAAAACAGTGCTATATTTGGCCAACTACTTAAATTTGGACAGCTCTAGACAGCTAGATAAGTCATTGAATTTTTCATTTAGTCTGAGTTCCTGTTGTTAAAGATTGTTACAGTCAATTGTTTGGTTATTGAAGTTATTATTTCTTTTCTGTTAGTTCACTGGGAATATTTTGTTGTGCATACAGTTTTGCCGGGGATATGAAGTTGCAATTCCATCTGCATAGTGAGAGATTGCTTTAAATCCACTTCTTTCAAAATGACCTGCTTTTCTATTAAGTTGACATATCTGAAATTTAAATTTCTGCACATAAGATAACTATGTTTCTATGCTGGTTTAGTTTTTTTTCCTGATGATATTACATCTTTGTCATTGACGTACAAAATTTTAGGCCTGAACTAGCAGAGCCGTTCACTTTGCCTGAGCATCCTGACTCATTTGAAATGCTAATCATTTGCTTGCTGTTCTCTGGGGTCCCTCTCAGTTATCTCATGCTGTACACCCCAAATCCTGCCTGGATCTCTTGCTCATCTCTGTGTATCTCTGAGCCATGTTCTTTGCAGGTTTGGGAAGACAGTAGCTACGTAGCTCTGTTGGAGTTGCTGTGGGGAGCTCACCCTTGATGTGCCATATCCTTGTTAGCCTGACTGGCTGTTCACTCTCTCCCTGTCTTTTTGGGTTTGTCTGCTTGACACAAAAAAATATTCAAGCGTGATTTAGTCCTTCATGGCATTTTAGATAAGCCTGTGTTTTCTATGCATTTCTTTACTTCCTTTTGCCTTCACCAGCCTGGGGGGTGCTGTTAAATAAACAGAAAGGATGAAACTGGAAGTAGCAGGTAGCTGAAAGCTTGCTCTGCCTCCTGTGTCCCCAACAGACAGCAGCCATGGGGAGCTGGCCCAGCCCACGCTGACCATCCAGACCCACCCGTACCGCAGCTGCGAGCCTGTGGAGATGTCCTACCCCCGGGGACAGTTCCAGCCTGCCATCCGAGTGGCAGACCTGCTGCAGCACATCACCCAGATGAAGAGGGGACAGGGCTATGGCTTCAAGGAGGAGTATGAGGTGAGAGGAACCTTTCTTCACGTGACTGAGTAGGGAAGTTGCACTCATGAAGGGTAGAAGCTTGGGAGAGGAGGGTAGCTGGTTTTGAGAGTTTCTTTTCCTTAATTCGCCCTCCTAATCCTTTTCTTTCTGATTTTGGTTTTGAGGACAGGGTTTTGCAGCACTATCAGTCTTTGGAGGCCCTCTATTCCAAAGTGAAGGTGTTCACTACAGCAGTAAGTGGGTGACACTGTGCTCATGCCTCTGTCCCATAAAGAGCAGTCAGTAAATATCCAGCAGGTGCTGAACCTGCAGTCCCACAGTCCCTTCCTTATCAGTGTTTTCCTTGAGTATTGTGAGCCAGGCTGTGAGAAAAGGAAGGGGTTTTGCCTGAGCTTTTTGGGAGCTCCACGTCCCCTCTCATAATTGATCACATGAAATCACAGCACAATGACCTCAATGCACAGTTGTCAAGTCAAGGGCAGGTATTTGTGTAGTTAAATGGAGATGAAATTTTCCAATATGATCAAACCTCTGGCTCAGAATAGGCTTGACTGACATTCTCTACCAATTCCATGTGAGGAGAGGAGTAAAGGCAAAGCTGGAAAAATGAAAGCTGCCCTCTTTCCCCTCCCCTCTTCCCCCTGCAAGCTGGAATGACCAGGAATATAATCCACATGACCAGAAGACATGATGTTGGGGATGATTTGGAAGAGGAAAACACATTTAGAGCAGAGCAAACAGAAGAGGGAAATAGCATCAAACATATGTGAGACTCAGCTCTAGCAAGTGATAATTATAATGAATGTAGTAAGCTCATGGGAAGGCAATAAGAAATTAATATGCATAGTGGCATTAAAGCTATTTAAAAATAATGTAACAGCTGTGAAAATAAGTTCCTTAATGAAAACAGCTCACTTTTCCACCCTGCAAGTGAGAGTCCATGGGGTTTGTGTCCTGAGTGCTGAGGTTTGCTGTAATTCGGAGCCTGTCTTTTCCTGGTCCTCACCAGGGAGTGTTTTTTTAATCAGATGGAATCAAAAACTATCATAGCATATGTTTCTGGAATTGTATGTTAACCAGGTCTAGGCACTCTTGCCCCATAATCAAGCATGCTAATTAAACGATCAATATAAAGAGCTTTGTTTAATATTGAAAAAGGTTAATAATTCTCTGAGGAGATTTACTTAGCCCCCCTTGGCCTCCATTTCCATGAGGAGTACCCAAAACTGCATTGAGCTCAATTACAGATGCCCTAAGACCCAGTTCTTGATGTTCAAGAAGAAAACAGGTGCTGGCATATATGTAATTTTCTGGCGCTGGCATCGGTAATTATCAAAATAGCACATTAGCATGAAAAATGTCAATGCAACTTTCAGCTCCACGAGCTCTGCCTTCCTCAGAAAGTGCTGTCTGCAGACGTGTGTAAGGATGATGACATTACACAGATTTGCATAATTCCTTTCTTTACAAGGAACGGCCTGGAGAATGCCACAAGCTCACAAATCCCCTGTGCTGTTCCACCCTTCCATCAGCCGTAAATGCAGGCGTTTTCCACGGTGGGATTTGGGTTGGGAGCATGGGATGGAGGCAGCACTTCAGCTCCAAATAGCAGTGGGGAGTGTCAGGGAGCATGAGAGCTCCTGGAAGGTGGGAGGTTTGAGCTGGCTGTGAGTGAGGCTCAGCCTGGGATCTGCAGGAGCACAGAGCTGCAAAATTGGCTTTGCAAGACGCTTTGCAGAGCAGCTGATAAAATCTCAAGAAAGAATTTGATGTCTCTTTTAAAATGTGTTTTCAGACACTAATATCAGTGTCACCTCCAAATATGCTCTTTTTTTTTCTTCTAAGGAGCTGATTTTCTACTTACTTTGCAAATTGATAGCATAAATTGCAGCCTGTTTAGTGACATGTTACCAAATAATTTTACTCTCATGAAAAATCACTTTGAACGGAGCATATCAGTCACACATGACAATCTCTTATCTCTGTGCGTTCCCATCTCCGCCGAGTAACCTGGAAATTGCATTCCATATTTGTTTAAAGGATGCCTGCACCTACACGTGTGAGCACAGGCAGCTTGTTTTGCTGAAGGCATCTAGAAAAATATTCCTGGTAGCTCCAGGAGGAGCTGAGAAGCAGGATGGGATGGTGTGAGGGGTGTGAGTGCTGGTGTGAAATGAGTGTTAACTGGGTGTGAGCAGTGGGAGAATCTGTCAGCACTCCCTGTCCGTGTTATTTTGGGGCTGCCTGCTGCACCTGAGGGCAAAGTGGGACTTTGGGCCTTTTTGGTGCTGCTGCTGTTCAGTGGTGAAACAAGAGGAACAGAGGAGAAAATCTGTCAGCAGCGCTGGTGTAGATGGCACTGTTTGGGGTTGGGAATAGCCATAAACATTTAAACGGGACACATTTAAATGTCACCAGCTCCTTTTCCAGAACATATCAGCTCTGATTTGTTGGGAGCTGTGGGACCAGTCCCACAGACTTATTGCAAGCACCAATTACTGGCTAAGGAGATAATAGGCTTAATTATCCAGACTCATTTTCCGTTATGATTTAGGATGTCACTAATGCACATTCTCCTGCTGCATTACTGAGACTGTTTAGTTATTTTAGTTTTTGTGGCTCCTTTCCTCAAACATCTTAGTGCTGAGAGCCTTCAGATTGTGGAATTCACCCCTGGACTTTAACCCTTTGATTTCTGCCTACATATTTGCATGTGGCCAGAAGAATAGATCTGATGGTCTGGGCTATGATGGGACACTGCAAAATGAATGGATAAGATACTTTTTTGTTCAGATCATGTTTTTTAGCCCAGGTAATTTTTAATTCTGGCTCCCAGCAGATTTGTGGAAAGAGTTTTTCCAACACTGTTGAGAAGAGAATGGCTTCAGGGGGAGGGCCAGGGCTCTGTGGCACACTTTGGGGTGAACAGGAAGGCTTTGAATTGATGTTGTTGCCTTTGGCAGCAAAACTGCAGCATTAAGGTGGATCAGTGAAAATGAAGGATTAGATTTTTTGTATTTAAATTAAAAGCAAACAGCAAACTAACTAAATGCATCCATCCAAAATTCAAATTGGCTTGCAGTGAGCCTCAGTTTAATGGGAACACTTCAGTTATGGCTGGGCTGTGGTGTTTAGGAAGCTTGATTGAGATGAAGCTGACTTTGAGAGATCTATCCTTGTAATTTCAGCTAAAATTTAGATCAATTTAGTTTAAAAAGCTTCACTGTAACCTAAATTCCACTAGTGGGAAGAAATTTCAATATAGATTTCACAAAACTTCTCTAAGAGAAGTTTAGGGAGTTTTAGAAGTAGAAAAAGCCTAAAAATCAAGTATAGAAGTATAGGTTTTTTTGAACACTTAGAGTCTTCTGTTACCAACCCAAAGAAAGAAGGGGTAGAATTTCCCGGTAAAAATGGATTAAATACCAGTGCCTGAGTGATCTGTCCTGATTTAACATTGCTGATAATGCAGATAGAAACAGGACTCTTTTCACAATTATAGAGATACTTATTGTACCATAAAAACCTAAGGAACAAAGCATTAGCCATGCTCCTCATTTTCTGGATGCAAGCCAATTATAATCCACATTCTTGTCTTTCTTTTCAATGTAGTTCCAATTCTTAATGTTGCATTTTTTGGGATCTCATGGGCAAATTATTTGGGTTGTACATGGAGTTCCTCAGTTTGTTCATCTGATGTTTATAAAAGTGGGGATGTATGGGGTGTCCCTGCAAAGGTGGTTTGTGTTCACCACCAACCAGAGCTGTGCTCCTTCCCTTCAGAGCTGGTCAGTTCTCTGGAAAGCTGGGATTTCTGTGGTATTGAAAGAAATGAAAAATCCTGGATTCTTAAATCTTTGGAGGCTCTATCAGCAAACATAAAAACATCAATTTCAGTGGAGAATTGCATGTTCAAATCAAATGAAAGGATACGGTTTGTTGAAAAGGGATTTATTGGACCTGAATATATTTTCTCTGGCCAAGATAGCTTCTCCCGTGTGGAAGTCATGAGAAAGGATTTTCTTTTATTTCTTTTTCTTTTCAGATAGCTCTTATTAGGCTCCTAATGACAGTTGCCATTCTCTGGTCAATCTGCTGTAATTCAATATTAGTGGAAAAATAAGGCACCTTTTTCTCGCTCTTTGAAGATGAAAATGAGCCTTCTTCACCTCTTTTCTTTCACTCAGAGGGGTTTTTTTGTTGCATGTGGGTTTCTTGGTAGGGTGTTTTTCCTCAGAAGATGAGCTGCTCTTTGGAAACAACAGTCTGCAAAGGAAATATATGTGTGATCAAAGCCCTCACCAATTACAGAGTTATTACTCTTTCTCCTGGGCTTTTGAATAGGAACTCAGCGTCCCTGTCTTTGTCGGCAGCGCTCGTGGCAGCGCTGCAGTGCCTGACATTTTCTGTCCTGGAACCCTTTGCAGGAAATTCACGGCGATCTGCTCTGCCAGGGTTTGCTCACATTAAGTTTAATTGTAACACCAGTGTTGTAGATCCTAATTGTGTCTCTCTGCTATTGCACTCAGGCACATAATAGACCTGGGTGGCTTCTGAAGATGAACATAAATTCATTTTGTAGCACAGCTGTGTCAAACTACCCGCTGCTGGCTGAGGCAGATGTGATTCTACAACGACTGTGGTTTAAACCCTCTGTAATTCCCCAGGGACAGAAGTAATAAAACTTCCAATGATGATTTTAGTGATGTAGAATCCTGTTAGGGGGTACATCTGGGAGGAGGCAGAACTAGGGAGGCAGTTCAGGAGGGGCTGCTCTCTTCACCCATGTTTTTTCCAAGAAAGGCAGGACCATCCTCCAACTGCTGCTTTCCAGTCTCTGCCTTGAAAATCCCTCCTGGACATGTTTCTAGGATAAAGTGGCTCATGTGAATAGTTGTAGGGCTGAGCTGCAGGGAGGGTGGCACTGTGTGCTGCCAGCTCCTTTCCCTCTTCCTTCCTCATCTGAAAGAGCAGATTTTAGGAAAATGGCTGTTTATTCTCATGCTTCATGAGCATGCTTTACCTCGTTTTTCCTCTCTTTTTTTATACATGATCTAAAACCCTGAGCTGCTTTATCTTTCCCCAGAGAAATCCAGCGAATGGCTTGTATTGCATCACCCATTATTAACACAGAAATAGATGAAACCACTCTATTTTCAGCTTAAATATGAAAGGCTGAGCACTGGGTTTCAACCACTGGGTTTTCTTAGAGGTGTAGTCAAGTGAAATCTCCCCAGGTCCCATTGTACAGGGGAAATTAGGTTAACCTGTGATTGTGCAGCCACGCAGCCAGAAACAAATTCCCCTGATCATTTCAGATGCGAAGTAGCAGGAGGAAAATGAGTCTTGGCTGGCAGAAGGCAAGAGATGCAAATGGTCTGCACAAGCTCTGCTTTTCCCATTAGTGGAGGTGCCCTGTCCTCACCAACAGTGTTTCCTTGGTCAGCTACTGAATTATGCAGCTCCTTTATTTTTGCCCTGCTCTTCTTCTTTAGGCCTCTTCCCCACCTGAAGGCATTGGCCAGATGTTTTAAACCCTCCTTTATTGTTTATTTTGCAGGCACTTCCCGAAGGGCAGACGGCGTCCTGGGATACAGCCAAGGAAGATGAGAACCGCAACAAGAACAGATATGGAAACATAATCTCCTGTAGGTGTAAATTCACATTAAACTGAGCATCCTGTGGCACCTGTGTGCTGTGGGAAGGGTGTGTTTGAGAAGCTCACCAGGAGCTGGCTAGCAGTACTGAGTGTTTTCAGTCCATTTGTTACAGGCTTTATTGCTGGGATTTATCTTATTTCATGTTTTTTTGATCCTCATTTTTCATAACATCATTGCCTGATGTTACACATTATCTACTTGCCTTGCTTTCTGCTTTAGGTTTGTGGCTCAAGGGCTAAATCCTTTTGTCACTTTTTATGTGATGATGTCCATTTTCTGTCTATTTTTACTACAAAACCCAGAGCTTCCAGTGCCACAAAAGAGAGCACTAAGGAGCTGCAGATAGATCAGATTTTTAGCTGTTGCTCAGAGGCCAGCTCTCTTTCCTTGTGGTCAGTAGCCAGTGGAGCAGTCACTGCTCGTCCCTAGAGAGCTGGTTTGAAGGCTGGGACAAGCTTAACTTCTGCCTCAGCATCATAATAAGGCAACTGAAAATGCGCTAAAACTTCTTGGCTTACTTCTTCCCGTGATCAGTTCCTGTTGATGCTACAGGAATATCAATATGTAGCAGAACTGCAGGGCAGGGAAGAGTCCATAAAACCATTTAGGTCAGCTTTATTCTTCAAAGCAAGACTAAATTCACCTTCCTCATTTTTGTCAGATATTTGTGAAGCCTCTTCCAAAGTTGCTCTCCAAAGCTGAGCTTTCCACAAGCTCTGCAGGCAGTTCACCAGTGTTTCATTATTCCTGATAATGACTGGGGAAAGGACGCATCAGAATTAATTCTTTTCAAGGGCTGCTGAGCTGAACGAAGTTGGAGAAGCCAGGCTTGAAACCATCAGAACAAGAAATCAGAATATAAATGAATGTGCCATAGATTTTCATGACTGGAAAAATCTATAGAATGGTCTAAGAGCAAAATTAAGTCACGCTGAGTGATATATTTCATACTACATTTTTTCTTGGGTTAAAAATGTATTTCTTGTAGAACAAATAGATTTTACTAAAAAAAAAAAAAAAAAAACAAAAAAAAAAACAAAAAAAACAAAAAAAAAAAAACCAAAAAGCACCAAAACAACAACAACTAACCCAAAAACCCAACTTCTTCATAAAGAAACCTCACCTCACACAACACTACTGCTCTCTTTGAGCCTTGAGATAAGTGATTCATGTGCCATTTTTGGGGAATGATGTAGGACATCTCAATTCAGGGGCCCCATGGTAAAGATGAAGGAATCTGGAAATAATTTTGAAATTTGTGAGCCCTGATGTGATCCCAGTTCTACTGCTGGCTTTGTGTGGTTGTGAGCAGGTCACCAAGTTCACCAGTGTTCTTTTTCCATGTGGAAAATGGAAGTGACAGTACTGGAATATTACAATTAGCATGGAAGTTGTCTCCCTTAATTTCAGCTCCACCTCACCGTGAGCTTTCTGTGTCCCAGTGGCAAAGAGAGACGTCCAGACAGAGGCTGTATTCACCTGTCTATACAATCAACTCCAATTAAATGAGTCTAAGACAGATGAATTATCCAGCTATAGACGCTGGATTGAAAGTGGAAGTGCTGTGGTATGATATGAGGAAGGAAAAGTGAAAGGCTTTGTTTCTCTGTATGATTTTGAGGAGGCACTTGGTATAATTCAAAAGAGGAGGTGAAAAGAGGCAAAACTGTGCAAAAGCTTCCATCTCATTTATGTTGAAGGTGGCCATGAAGAAAACCTTGAACTCCAAGTGAAGTGTGAGGAGTTCAAGAAGCAAAATCAAGGAAGATAAATGGGATGTTATCTAAAGAGAAGGTGTTCACAAAGACAAATTGTTGTCTAACGAAGAGTGACGCGAGCCTTTTAGCTCTAAATATAAATACAGCAGCCGTGCAGATAGGAGGTGATGAACTTGAATAAGGGAATGCAAAATGTAATCAGAGCTAAGGAACAAGAATCTGCACGGTGTAGAGTGTCAGAAAAGAAGCTCAAGTTTGAGGACTGTTGGGAAAGATTTGGGAATTGGGCTGAGAGGGTGGAGTGGGCTTTCTTCTCCTCAAATATTTATCAGAACAAAGAGTTTGAGAAGGAGAGAAGAGCTCTTTTAAAAGACAGCAAGGAGAATTTAGAAATATTGAGAAGGCTTGGAAGAGAGAAGAAAAGAAGGCTGCCTAAGGAAGGAGTATATCATTCATCTGATATTTTGTAAAACCATTGCAAAGTTATCAGCTGAGCCTGGAGCTGAGCCTGGTGGGCGAGTTGGGCAAGCTCCCTGAGTAAAGCCAGGGGCAGGAGCCAGAGCAGAGGATGGAGAGCAGAGCTGAGAATAGCAGAGCAGTGGTTCCTTCCAGGCAGGTCATGGAAACAAATTTTGCTCAGTTGGTACAAACTGAGCAGAGGAGGTGGAGCACAGTAATACCCTGAGCTGTTTTGTTGTACTTCAGTTGTAGTGGCTGGTGAAGCCCAGAGCAGGCACTGGTTGCCCCTACCAGTTTATTTGGTAAAAGGCTGCACGTGGCAATTAACATTATATATTTAACCATTTCATCCCTCCTGAACAACAAATCCCCTGCCTTTTGGGGCGTGAATTGGAAAGTCAGGTTTTGATCTGACTTCTGCAGCGGCTTCAGAGACTGGTGTTAAAATGTGGGTTTGTAAGCTCCTGCAATGAGTAGCATTGCTCAGTGAATCACAGCAGATTAGATCTTGTCTTTACAGCCTCATGGGTAACAGCACAGTTACAGGACTGTTTTAGTGGCTCACTGCTCTCCCAGAGCTGCATTAACATCGTGCCTCTCTGAAAACCTGGATCACACTGCCAGCCCCAACACCTGCTCTTACATTTGCAAACCAAAGCTGCAGACCAGCCTGAGAGCTGATCTGTTCATGCAGAGGAGGGGCAGGAGACATCAAAGAGCTCTCCCGGCTTTCCATCATTCCCTCCCATCTGTAACAGTTTTTGGAGCAAGGGAAGGAAAAGCTGAGCAGTGGATTTGGGGTCTGCATGCCCACAGAAATCCACTGTGGATGGTGGGAAGTTGCAGACAGACTTACCATGCTGAAGGAAACTGTCCTGCTTGAACCTTTTATTATATGAACAGAGCCCATGAACTTTGCTCCTGCACTTTTATAAAAGCTGTAAAAACAAAGGCAGTTGTGGAGATGCCAGGATTTTCTTTAGGGGACAAGCGTAGGCAGTGTACCCATTTATGTGCTGAAGCAAAATTATTTAATTCTGCTTTAGGGCCCAGATATTGAGACCTTCAAAGAGCATCAGAAAGTGATTGTTGGGCAAGGGATGTTGAGCTGAATCTATTACAAGAGAAGAGAAAATGTCCAGAAGCTATATGGGACCTTTGGTTCTATTTGATTTCTCTCCACCTTGCCCAGATTTAGAGCCATTACATTATGGGAGAATAAAAACTCTCAGATGAGAGCTGAGGATGAGAAGAGATAGGATGGTGTATTGCTTCAGCTGATGGAGAGAACTTTCTGTGCCTTTCATTTTTCCCTGCATTTGAAGTCTCATGATGGTCCACTAAAAACTTCGGAGCTGGTGACAAAAAGACAGTGGAGAAATTTGCTTTATTTCCTTCATGCTCTGACTGCCATATGCTTTGGGTTGGAAAACTGTGAATTAATCAGAGAATTTTGGAGTGGAAGAGATGAAGAAGCTTTCAGCTGGCACACAGGTGGAGAGCACTTCTTGCCCACAGACAGAGATAGGGCATGAAATAAAAAAGCCTACATAGAATTCCAGACTGGTTTGGGTTGGAAGGGACCTTAGTGCCATCCAGTCCCACCCCTGCATTGGCAGGGACACCTTCCACTGTCCCAGGTTGCTCCAAGCCCCATCCAGTCTGGCCTTGGGCACTGCCAGGGACAGCTTGTGCCAGTGCCTGACATCAGTATTGGATTTAGAACAGAAATTTTTAATTTCCAAGCATTTTTATTCCATTATTTTTTCTGTAGTGCCTAAACTCTTGCACATCTTTGTGATGTCCATGGAATTTGTGTGATATCCATGGAATTTGATGCTGACAGGGTGGGGTTTATCCCACCTGGATGTTACCCAGCTCTCATGGCACACTCCAGGGTCAGTGGGGACAGAAAGGGGAGCACAGAGTGAGGATAAATCATTGTTTTGTCCCAGAACTGAATCTGCAGAGCTGCCTGTGTTTCTCCTTTCCTGTGTGGGGAACCCTGACAGGCAGTTTAGACGAGCTGTGTAATGTTTCGATGGCGAAAGTTGTGTGAGATTAATCCAGTGCTGGTGTCAAAATGAGACGTGGAGAAATTGCAATGATACTTCAAATGATCACTAATGGGAATTTTGACAGGAGTTTAAAACGGTAACAATTTTGTGCTAAAATGGGAGCACAGAGCTTTTCAGTGAAAGTCTTGTCATTTCTGAAGTCTGTTTTAAGACCAATTTTCAGTCAAACTACTCTTCCTATAAATTTAGAGTTCTGCTAACTAGCAGAAGGAGTGGAGTAAGCAGGGAGAAATAAATTCATTTACACATTTAAGGTTTTTTTTCTATTTTTTTGTGGTCCTGAATGCAACTTTTTTTTTTTTTTCTGTTTACCCTCCATTTTTAATGTTTCTTAGAGTCCATTTTCAACACACAGGGATATGATCTCTGATAAATTTAATGAAGAGTTGAACAACACTTTCATTTCAGTCTGCCAAGAATTCTGTGTCCTTGGCTAGAGGAGTCCAGTGGAAAAAAAGAAGAATCAGAAATAAGTTTTAACCATTGGGAGAAGAGATAATAAATGCATTTGCTGTTCTTTAAATAGCTCTGTAAAGTCTGTATGCAAAAAAATCCTAAGTACAAGATCCTTACTACTAAGAGCATAAAAATTTGCCTTTTTTTTTTTTTTTTCAAATCCCAAAGTTTTTTTGCAGAAAAAAGAGATTTACAAGGGAACTTATTTTATGAACTTTTATCCAGACTGTTCTCCTAAACTTTGGAACAAGGTTAAAGAAACCATTAAGACATCATTAATATTTTGTGTGCTTCACATATACACAGTTTTTTTTTCTGCTGCACTGTTCTCACTTGTAAGAGCAATAAATCTCCCTCAGGAATTAATCTCATTTTAGTAAAATACGCAATGAAATATTTTGAATTCTGTCTTCTGAAAGCAAAGTTCAGCTTAAAGCATTTTTCATTTGGCCCTAAAATATTATTAGAACTGAATGTCTCCTTTTAAAAACAAAAAAAAAAATAGCATTAATCTTCAGATAAATTTCTTCATACTTTATGTTTTTTTTCCCATATTTGACTTTTTTTTTTAAAAAGGGGGAATAGGAAAACAAACAAACAACACTTTTTTTCCACTTACTGAGTATCTTTTCCTTAGCCATAATTATCCATAATTGCCTGAAATCATGGAGCTGCTCTCAGCCTGCTTCCCAGGTCTTCCCCATTCAGCTCCCTCTGGATGTATTTCATCCTGCCTGCTTTAACTTTCTGTCCTAAGAGTGGCTCAATGTGCTGAAACTTAATTTTGATGTTTGGCTCCATGAAATGAAGGGAGGCAGGTGCTTCCTCCAGGGTTATTCAGAGCGCTCCAGCTGCAGACATTGTCTGTGTCCCTCATTAAAAAATGAACCTGAAATCCTTTTCTCCTCTTATTGGGGGCATTTTTGGTCTCATCATTTTTGGTCTCATCATTTTTGGTCTCATCATTTTTGGTTCTGTTGTTGCAATGAGTTGAGACTTCCACAGTGGTGCTCTCTTGGGAGGAGTCAGTAAATGTTCCCCTCCCAGGCGTTTGCTCCAGGGTTTGCTTTTTCTTTGCTTTTGTTCCATGTGGCTCCTAACAAGTTTCGTTTGCTGCCTGGAATTGCAAGTGTGAAATTGTCTGCGGGAGTTTCCCTGTATTTCACCGCATGTCCGGTTTAATCAGCTCTTTGTCTGTCTGTGTGAATTGCTCCGAGTATAAATTCTTTTGTTGTCTGTCTAACCACATGATTTACTGCGACTCCTCGTGCAGCTGCCTTGAGTGCAGGTAATTGGGAACATCAGCACTCGGAGAAATATTCCCCCTTCCCTGTGCCTACAAAGGTTATATTTATTAATACAAATATAGCAGAGTTTTTGATGGATTCACCTGCAGAACCTTCTTTGAATGCAGATATGGGATGTGATAAACACAGCAATGTGGTTGTGGGATTTTTAGGTGTGTAAATCTCACCCGATGGTTGAACAGAGTAGAATCATTCCTTTACATGGCCAAATGAATATTTAATATATGTCCAAGTCTTGGTTTTCAGAACTGCCCGCACATCTGTCTTCACAATTATTATCAGATTCTACATTTAATTAAGACATGACTAAACCTCTTTTGACTGAGTTACTGCAGAATCACACCTCATATTTTTATGTTTCATTGCTATGATTCTTTTTAATTGAATGTAAATCATGCTTAGGCCTGTGTTCTGCAAAGTGCTGCTAAACATTAATGCTGCTCTGACTGAGAGCTATGCTCCATAGAGCTGGTAGGGAGGAAATAAACTTAATGGACTCGATATTATACTTCTTTTAAAAAATCATTTAAAAATGAGCACAGCATGGCCAGCAGTGACCCCCATAACCCAGTAGCCTCTGCCAAGCAACTGGCCCTTAGAAGCAGCTCTGCAATTAACTGCATACCAGTGCTGGGATTGCCAGAGCAAATCACATCAGCAGCCTGGCTCTGGAGTATCTCCTGTGACAGAGCCCAGCACCAGCTGTTCCACAGAAAGATCAAAATATTCCCCTGGTGGAAAATCATGACATAATCTGCCCGCTGGGGTAGTTCCTTTCTGCGTCTGAACTGTAGAGCATGCTGGGAGATGAAAAGATTGATCTCTGCTATTTTATTGCCTTATCTAAAGTAACTTTGAATCTCCTCAAAAAGATGAACATTTCTGATTTTGTTGGTTTTTTCCAGCACTGCCTCAATGCCATTTTGCTGCTGTGGGTTGCATAAAGGAATGTTACTCTGATTTAATTTGTATTTCCTTCCAGTTTCTGGGTTTTTCCATTTCTTATTTTCAGGGTTTCACTGCTATTTTACCCCCCTTAATCTTTTATATCTCTGTCATGATCTATTTAATTATGTCCTGGTCTTGTCAGTTTTAGCTCTTGCTTCAGTTTCCATAGATCAGATGAAGCCGAGGGAGTTTGGAGCTTCCAAGCAGGAAAATGGTTTTTCTCATGGAGATACACCTTGCAAAGGTCTGTCCCAAACCTCCCAAACCAGGTGACATTTGTGACCTGTCTCAAATCTCCATAAGGATTATAATGACAGCAATGAATTTAATGAATACAGAGCATGACTAACTTAAGGATCTAAACATCACATCTTTGACACAAAACAAAGGGCTTTTAGCAACAGGAATACATGTGATGCTATTCCATTTTTGATTATTGTAATAATTCAATCATTCAAGTACCTTGGTGGGATTCTTGAGGCCAGGAGTTGCCCTTTGTGTGTCCCTTTCAGCTCAGGGCATTCCATAATTCCACAGTGCCATCCTTGCAGGAGCCAGCAGATACAGCAGGCCACTTAGAAACTCCTCTTTATCGTTACTGTCACTTTTTTTCCTTTCCTTCCTTCAGATGATCACTCAAGAGTGAGACTGCAGCTGCTGGATGGGGACCCTCACTCTGACTACATCAACGCCAATTACATCGACGTAAGCTCCTGGACATTCCCCCTGTGACAAACCCGCCTGTGACAAGCCTGCTCATGAATTTGGTGCCTCTGACACAGGGACAGGCTGTGGATATGAGTGACAGTGAACGTTGTACAAACGTCGTGTTGTGACAGGGAGAAGGTTCTCAGTCTCCAGTTTATTTTGTCTGACCAATCTGGGCAGATGGAGATTTCCTGTGTTTGACAGATCCACCAGCATAAGTGGGACGTGGGCTAGATGATGGATGAACAAATCAATATCAGCCCCTCACAATAGCATTAGTTGATATCAGAGACTTGCCAACTACTCACAAAGTTGTGGTGCAGAAGGCATGTATGTAAACAGATTGACTTTTTTTAAAGTGTTCTAAAATGACATTGGAAAAGCAGCCTCTGTCTCACACACAGTGATCCAATCTACATGCATCTATTGAATGCAGCTCTTAAGTCATGGCAACAGGAAATGTTTAGAATAGTTTCTTGAAAAGATAAAAGATGCCCTCAGAATTTTCACAGAGACAAATTCATACCTTTCTTCTTTTCAAACAAGAAGATGCAGTGTTTTTGCCTATCTGTTACCCTCAGGTAACACAGGATTTGTATTTCTTTGTGGAAATAGTTTAAAAGTGCCCCATTCCTGTCTTATCTTTGGCATGAAGAGATTTTGTTATTCAGCCTGAGGGAGATGCCCTCACTTAAAGTCTCTCAGGACAGTCCAGTTGCCCATTCATTCATTCATTCCATAACCAGTTGATTACAATATATTACATAATTATACACTGTCCAGAGGGGCAGCAGTTGGCACCTGGAAAGTATCAAATCCCTGGTGGGCTTTGTCTGAGCTGTGATTTCACAGACACTCATCTATTTTCTTTTTTTTCCAGGGGTACCATCGGCCTCGCCATTACATTGCAACTCAAGGCAAGTTCACTCTTGTATGTCTAAATATTTGTAAAATCACTGCTGGTTTACGCTGTTGTAGGAGCTTTTTATGGGGTGACATCATCTCTTTTGGGAAACATCTGAAAATTTGTTATATGGGTATCACTGAAGGGGTTCTGGGGACAGACAAAGGTGATACAGAGACTCCATCATCAGAAGGCATGAAAAGGCATTTTATTATTAGAAATTCACAGTTCTTATAGAAACAATGGTGGACCTAAGACCTGACTGGCCTTAAGGAATCTTCTCTCACCTATTGGTCAAGAAGGAACAGCTCCTTCTTGTAAACATCTTTGACAAACAGGGATTGCCTGCCAGGTGCATAGATTGAGATAGTAACTATTTTAATTCTTTCCCTGAGCTTTCTCACAGCTTCCCAGGAAAATCCTGGGAGAGCTGTGTCTCTCTCTGCTCAGAGTATATCTGTTATGAATCTTCCAAGATCTTTAAAACTCAGACTTAAAACCTCAGCTGCAGGAATAGAAAATGCCACAGACTCAGAGGTGGCAGCACAGCCTAGAATGTTTCATTTGTGCATGAAGTGTGAGAGGACAACTACAGGGGACTTTGTGGGTCTTGGGTTTACCCTGCTTGAGGAGGGCAGTGTCAATAATCTGTGACTGATGAGCCTTTGAGGGGAGCTAGTAAGAAATGCATCTGAACACCACCTTCTGTAAGTCACTTGAAGAGTTTCCTGTAAGAAAGGACATAAGGTCAGGGAGAGGCTCTACACTGACAAACCTCTTGTGGGCACTGGCTGGTTGGCTATTGGAACCTGACATTTTTCTGGGGGAAGCTTCAGGAAAGAGCTAATTTCTGCATGTTTCCTTCCTCCTTCATAATTAATCAGTATTGAACTGTGAAATGGTGTGCTGCATCAGGTGTGAATTACAGCACAGCCTTAATATAGGTTCAGTGTGGGGTACATCCTTGTCCCATCACTCATACAGAGTTTCCTACTGGAGCCATCACTTCTGTTGCCACCATGCTGGAACCTTAAATACCTGCTGGGAGGAAGGGTCTGACCTTCCAGAGAGCTCCAGACTGTTAGTGTCTGTAACCCTGAACGGCAGAGGGATGCTCTGAGAGACAGCAGGATCCTGTGGGAACAGGACAATGGCTGGAGAACAGCTGGAAGGGGTTATTGGCATTCCATGCACTATCTTGAGATGTCTTCTTTGTCTTCTCTCCTGCCCCAGGGCCGATGCAAGAGACAGTGAAGGATTTCTGGAGAATGATTTGGCAAGAAAACTCTGCAAGTGTTGTCATGGTCACCAACCTGGTGGAAGTGGGCAGGGTAAGGTGCCATTCCCAACGTGTAAAGCCAGACCAGGGCTGGGTTTAACACAGAGCTGCTGCTCAGGAGAGCTCAGCAGCAAAATGCCTTTTGTTTCCTGCAGGAAGGGAATTAATTCAGCCACGCTGAGTTATTATATAAAATGCTGGATTTTGTAATACTTAGCTGCTTCCCTTCTAGACTAATAGGGATGGTGTTCCTGCTGTAAGTCTGGGCTTTGGCAGAGTTATACACATTTATGCTAGCTCAGAAGCTGTCTCCTTCCACAGTACAGAAATCAAAATATACTTCTGTAGTAGTTGTTCTTTATCTGATGATTTGAATACTCCTCTAAAAATGCAGAGGAGTGGGGACACGTGACTGGTGCTCCAGCTACCAAAAGACCTCTTTGCATGAGAGTCCAGAGCCTGGAGTTCCTGTGGTCACTGTTCCTGGGGGTTGAGGTTTTTGTGGATCCTGGGACCACCCAGCAGTGTTGGCCTCCTAAACAGCCAGCAAATCCCTCTCCTGGACTGACCTGGACCAGACATCCCTGTGTCAGCACAAGGCAATTCCCAATGGGACCAAACATGGATAAATCAAAAGGTGTAGGCTGGACCTCAGGAAATAAGAAGGCAGAATGTCTGGGGTGGCTTTTCCCAGCACGGTTTTTGTGTTAGAGATGTTCTCAGCCAGAAACCAGAGTTCTTAAAAAATTTTGTCCTGATGTTTGTCACTTTCCATTGCTTTGGTATTAAGAAAAATTTAAATTGTCGTTTACTCAGAGCCATTAGTAATTCAGCTGCTTTGTGTTTGATTTCCCTTAGATCTCATGGTTGAATGCCAGCTGCTTCTGTTCATTTATTACTGTTTATTCTATTTTACCTTCTACTGACACTTCAGTTCCAAATAAATGCCTCTGTGTAAAAGACAAAAAAATCCAAACAACAAAAAACCCACAACAAACCTACATTAATCATATTTAATATTTATAAAACCCCTTTCAATTGTGACTGGAACTGGAACATGAAGCCTGCTTTGCTGCAGCTAATTGCTTCAGCTTTAGGTATTGTTCCACACTTCATGCTAGAGCATTTAATAACCTGATAGTCTTCGTTAGCCTAAATATCCCTTCTGGAGCTTCACAGCCTTGCTTTTATTTCTTTTGGTGATTTTGCACATGGCTCCTAGAGCTGGCTAAGCTGGCATATGCTTACCTGCTCAGGAGATTTCTCTCTTGAGCCTTAGCTAAAGCCCGTCACAGCTGGTAAAATGCCAAGTTTGTGTCCACATCTGATAAAGAAAGCTCAGAGTCAAACAAATTTAGTGTCCCAACATGTATCCCACAATCCCCATGAACTGAAATTCTTTGGCTAAACAGAGAGAGTTGAGAATTACCGGAGCAGTAGCAAAGATTTTTTTTCTCAAAAGGGATGGTGGTGGTGACTGTCAGGTGTTCTGTAGAAGATTTTTTTTTTTTTTAATCTAAATGCATCCTTTGCATTTGTATGGACAACAAAGGGAACTTTAGAAAAGTCCTGCCTGTGGTTTCTATGGATGGTAAAGGAATTTTGATCTAATTTATACAGTTAATTTTGGCAACTCTACACATCAGAAGAAAGCCCAATTTTCATTGGCTTCAGCTTGAAGGTGGAGGAAAATGTAGGTCAGCTCTGACTCAAACTGAACTAGTTCCTCTCAATATTTTCCTTTTGCCCCCAGGTGAAGTGTGTTCGATACTGGCCAGATGACACAGAAGTCTATGGAGACATTAAAGTCACATTAATTGAGACAGAGCCATTGGCAGAGTATGTCATACGTACCTTCACTGTGCAAAAGGTAAGGAGGTCTTCAGGCAGCTGAGACTGTGACACACTTCATTTGTGTTCAGAAACTCCAGGAAACACATCCAGAATTCTCTTGGAGATGGGAGCTGTGCTATTTGGACAGGCTTCACTTCAGCAAACTAAATTTTTGACAGGGATTCCATTTTTGGACAAATGATTTTACAGGAACATCTTGATGTAGCCACGAAAGTAGAATCCACAGTGCATAAGGTTTAACTGCATCCAAAAGGCAGCAGATAGCTGATGGTATGCCAGGAATAATAACTGCCTTGTTTCACAGAACAAATGGCAGAGGAAAAAAGGTACCTCTCAAACTGGATGCCAGATAGGGTCCCTTTTCATCAGAAATGAGAATATAATAAGAATAAGAGTATAAAAACTATCCCCAAACCAGCAGGATTTGGAAGATTTTGTTACTTGTAATTAGAAATTGGAAGTCTAAGTGTCAGAGTATTCCAAGTCTGTCCAAATTACTTTCCAAACACTCAGTAAGTGGTTTTACAGCTTTTCCAAAATTCCTGCTCAATGAACTTCAGCCACACTGGGAATAATGTTTCAGTTTTCTGATACATCAGCTCCATATTTCATTAAATAATTTAAAAACTTGGTGAGAAGTGCTAAAGCCAAAATCTGACAGGCTAGAGGAGCTGCTGCTGGATTCCACCCACATTTCGTGTACAATAAAACACAGCTGACCCAGGGTTCTGGGTTACTCTTTGCAGGGCAGATAACTGTGTGATTTTCGCATGCCAACAACTTGCTCTCCCCAGAAAAGATGGTTCTGGCTACTAATTCCTGCCCTTTTCACTGCCAGCAGCATCTCAAACTGAGGATTTTTGGCAGGAGGTGGCAAAAAATCTGCTGTTACCTGAGGCATGCCCACTCTTGGCATGTTCCTTCCCCAGGCTCTTGCTTCAATGGGTCAAAGAGGATTTAAGAATGAATTTTTGGTGGTTTATGGCTGTGGGTAAACACAGCCATGGAGTGCTAGGGCTGAGGACACCCTGATGGGGGCGGGTATGAAATCTGAGACCACAGGTTGGAGCTGGAAGCCTGCACCCACATTCCCAGCCCTCAGGTGAGTGTTACCCACTTCACTGGGAACTGGAATTTGGCTGAAAATATTTTTAGAGTGAACAGCAGCTTCAGACACGTTTGCACGCATAGCGAGAGCTCAGTGCTTGTCATGCCTCTGCACGAGGGAAGGCAGCAGGGAGCAGAATATGCTGATTGGAGTCTGATGGAAGAGAAATAGAGGCTGTGTTGTCTCCTCAGAAAGGCTACCATGAGATCCGAGAGATTCGGCAGTTCCACTTCACCAGCTGGCCGGACCACGGCGTGCCCTGCTACGCCACGGGGCTCCTGGGCTTCGTCCGCCAGGTGAAGTTCCTCAACCCCCCCGAGGCAGGACCCATCGTGGTGCACTGCAGGTAGGCCAGCTCTCCACCTGAGCCTCTCTTCCAGCAGCTTTTCCCTCTTTTTGTCTCGCCTGGCAATACCCAGCAGCTGTTTCAGGGTATCATTTGTGGGCCTTGCTGAAGCATGGACAGATGACTCTTCAACTAATTAAAGTTGAATAATAAAAGAGGGTTTATTTATTACAGCTCTGGACTCATGCAGAGTAATTTCCAAAGGCATGTGCAAGGAGTCACAGGCTCCTGCTCTCTATTTTTCCGAATAAAAAGTATTTGGAAAATACTTTCCAAATATCACTGTTTATAAGAAATGATGCAGAGCCATCAGAAGGTTAAGTGGCACAAGCATGTATCTTTACTTGGAACCACTTCTTTTATACACTGATCAATACAGGTGGACCTGATTGGTCATTTAATCAATGCATTTCACCTGACTGGCTAATTAATACGATGCCCATTTATAAACAATCTTATGAGAATAAGGAGAAAAGAGATATTAGGAAAACAACACCTGCAGTTTTTTTTTTTAATAATTGGCTATCATTCTTTATCTTCAGCTCACTACAATCTCCCAGGCCAGTTCTGGGAAAACTTATCTACTTTTCTTGCTCTCTGACCAGGTTGTTACATCCACAGTTTTACATATTCAGACGGTCTCCAGGATGCCTAATACATAATCATTAACTCTCTGCCTTTGTATTATAATTAGCTGAATGTCCATTAGGGCTGCGCAATTGTCCTCTTTAATTGGGATGATGGGCTCTGAAATGGGTCAATGGGTTCTTTGAAGAGGAAGTAAGACCTCTTCCTCATGTAAACTCTTCACCTGTGTCAAGTTGGCAGGGCTTCTTGACTCGCTGGTCACAGTCCAAACCTTCTCTCACTCTCAGAAGCCAGTGGTATTTATGGCTCTTGCACTCTTAAAATACTTCATGTATCACCTGTCATTCCAGCCTTGTTTCAGTTATCCCCACCTGGTATAAATTAATTTCCTTGTTAAGCTCTAATCACAATGTATGATCTTTGCTAACTGCATTTCTAACTTAACCCCTTGATTCATTTCAGCTCTTAATTAAAATATATTGTTTTCAATATCTTAGTTGCATTACTAGCTCAGCCCCTTGACTCCTTGCCAGGAAACAAATGTTTTTCTTTCCTAAAGTGGCAGATCTGGAACCAAGCTGGCATGAGTTGGAGATGATGGGAGGTCAGAGAGGGCCTTTCACTTGTAGAAAACCCCACAGTGATCTGAGCTCTGTTGGATGCTCATAGCAGAGCTGGGGAAGTGGTGGATATCTGGGACAGCCACTCCAGCCCTCAAACCTCATGTGGCAGAATAGACAATGCCAGCACAAAGACAGGGAATTTTAAAGCAGCTTTGCTTCTCTGTACCCCCATGTGCTGCAGCTCAGCTTGGTGCCAGCATTAAAGGCCTCACCTGGTCTGGTGGAAGATGTCTCTGCCCACAGCAGGGGAGTTGGAACCCCCAACCATCTTTAAGCTCCATTCCAACACAGACCATTCTATGATTTTATGTTTTTATGGTCTGAAATATATGTCTGGCTGAGTTTGGCTGACAGCCCTTGGGCATCTTGGCTTCCTGAAAGCCCAGGAGTTGGGTGAGAATCTCAGATTAAAAACTTCCAGCTAGCAAAATTCCAGTGACTTCCAGCTGGCAAATAAAAGGAGTTAAATTACTTCAAATGCAAGGAAAGGCATTGCTGCAAAACCAGAGTTTGGGTTTGTAGCAGCAGCTATGTCTGCAGGGCTCAGGGCATGTGAGAGCTAAAGAAGATGTAGCTTGAGCACAAGGCTAGAGAGAAGAGCTGGCTGTCCCAAAATCTCACCCCTAATCCATCCACAAGGAATTGTTTCTAGTTCCCACTCTGTGTCTTGAGAAAGAGAGAGAAAATACATCCCACAACTACTAAGCAGTTTTGGATTGGGTGGCTGTTCTGTTTTGTTGTTTGTTTTGGTTTTGTTTTGTTTTTTTTTAGCAAGCAGTGAGTCAGTTTTATAATCAAGTAAAGCTAAGCCTGAGGAGTTGGCAGAAGAGGTTTCATTTACAGCTGAGGGCCTGAGTTTGCTGCTTTAGTTCCATGGTATGGGGCTGGCCCTGGAAGGTGTCTCAACCTGACTCGTTGTCACCAAGAAAGCAAGGAGAGATTTTTCATCCTTCCCATTTTAATGAATAAATGCCATTTCCTCTACGTTATTTATCTGCTTTTGAATTTTAATGACTTGCTTTAAGTGGTAATTACCAAATTCTCCCCACTGATGCCTGGCTGGATAATATCACTGTTCGATATTTATGAAGTGCCAGGATCCTCTAAATATAGAACTGTTAAAACTATTTGTTAAAATTCTGAAAAGCTGAGAGATAAAGGGAGAGGAAATGCCACTTATTCATTAGAATTCTGCAAATGAAAAATCTCTTCTCACTATGCAGCAGCTGATTAATCTGGTCCATTAATTTATGGTCATTCATATCTCCTTGCTTTCGGCTCTGGTGGAGTTTTCAGTGCAGCTGAAGTTTCCCTGGTCTGAGCAGAGTTCTGCTTCCTTCACAGTAACGTGAAGAGACATTCTCCTCTCTCCATCCTTCACACCTAAGCAGCTTGGATGATTTTCCAGAGGGGAAGGAGGACACGATGACCACACAGTTTTGCAGGAGATGGCCCAATTCTCACGAGCAGTGGGGAGCTCTGAACTGAAGGGTTCAAGTAGCCTCAAGCTCCTTTCTGTGTGATTTACAATCCACAACTTCAAATCACCCTCCTCAGGATCCAAACTCCTCTGGATTCCAAAGGGAAAAGAAGTGTTTGAGGTGGAGGACTGAGCTCCTTTCATCATGCCCACTGGAGTAAATGTATCCATATGCCTTCTACAGAGTCCTAGGGAAGAAAATTTTTGGAATTGTGTGTTTGCAACCCAGAGGCTGCTCTCCTCTGTGTGATGAGAAGTGTGCAGGTGACCTGACCTGTAAAATTATAATGAGTATTTTTGCAATATTTGGTTGGTATTCAATAACAGAAAGCTTTTGTTTCTGCTTCCCTTTCAAGAAATTCTATTTCCCCTCATTCTCTTAAATCCTACAAGAGAAAAATGAATCCAGCAGGGAGTGGGAGCAGCTCCCAGGAGGAGACAGCGGTGTGTGTGCTGCTGTTATTCTGTCCTCCACAGAGCCCTGTCTCTCCACAGCCCCTTGGTCACACAGATCCTCCTGTTCTTTTCTCTTCCAGCGCTGGGGCCGGGAGGACAGGGTGCTTCATTGCCATTGACATCATGCTGGACATGGCAGAGAACGAGGGCGTGGTGGATATATTCAACTGCGTGCGAGAGCTGCGCTCCCAAAGGGTCAATTTGGTGCAGACAGAGGTGGGTGCCAGCAGCTCTCCCTGCATGAGGTGCTGCTTTCCTGTCAGCTTCTCTGCCCAGCAATTTATGAAGTCAACACTGGCTTGCTCTGTGCCTTGATTATGCAGAACTTTTGGTGGCTAAACCTGCCCGGATTTGCACCGAATCAATTCACCGGCAGCTACTCAGGGCCTGCAAGACAGGAGGGCAAACCTTGAAGTTTGGGTCTGTGCATTGCTGATTAATTTTATGCTCATAGTAGGAAAAAAGAGCTCCTGAAGCCTCTCATGACTCATTCATAGGAGCACTGCAGGCTCCAGTAGTATCCAGTGTATATCAATTACAAGCCAAGCAAACAAAACGCCTCTGATTCAAGCTCTGGGTGCTGATTAAGCAAGGTGCTCCATCACACAGTGTCTGGCAGCTGCACAGACTCCTGTGGAACTGTTATCCTGTTGCACAGGTTTTATGTGTGTCCCTTAACCCCTTCCCTTCCTGAGGGACAGGACAACAACCTGGAACAGAGAGGGGCTGTTAACTTTGTTGAATTTCCCATATTTATTTTAGGGAAAGAGTTTGACCCAAAATACCCAGAAGCCAGGGTTCTGAAGAAACCTGTTAGTTCTGTACAGTCGTGCCAGAGAAGGCTAAATTGTATATTAGGAAAGGTTTCTTCATTTAAAGGGTTGTCCAGCCCTGGCACAGCTGCCCAGGGCAGTGGTGGAGTCACCATCCCTGCAAGGATCTAACAGACATGCAGATGTGGCAGCTGGGGACATGTTCAGTGGTGAACTTGGCAGTGCTGGGCTGGACTCAGTGATCTTAGAGGTCTTTTCCAGCCTACACAATTCTGTGATTCTCTGGTGTTATTGGAGGTGACCATTGACTTGTGGACAGAGAGGTTTTACACCCTGATCTCCTCCTCAGCCCACCCTCATTTTGTCCCAACATTCCTGAGAGTGCCAATTCCCCATTTTCCTTGTAAATCTGAAATGAACATGTGAGACCTCACATTCAATGATGGATGAAATATGCTCACAAAGCTGTCACACAGCACACTGTGTAATTTGTCTCCATGTGAAACAGAGCCAAATATGCATATTGGGCACGACTTAAGAAAAAATGAAGAGTGATATTTCATGATCTGTATTAAAACTGTGATTTTAATATCTCCTCCCCTGTGCAGGAGCAGTACGTGTTTGTCCATGATGCCATTTTGGAGGCATGTCTCTGTGGCAACACAGCCATTCCAGTCTGTGAGTTCAGATCCATATATTACAACATCAGCAGACTGGATCCACAGACCAATTCCAGCCAGATAAAAGATGAGTTTCAGGTAATTTCATATGTCTCAGTCACTGCAGTTGGTGTATTGAAGGTGTTTAATCAATTTCTGTGTGTTTCTTTGTGATTTCCAGCAGAGCAGACAAGGGGGACACTGAGCCATGGTCTGATTTCAGTTGATTTTTGTTGTTGTACTACTGGGTCAGGCAGAGATTTGTTTTTGAGCATGGACTATTCAGCCTTCAGCAAGGAAAAAATTGTGCCCATCACTCCAGTAGAGAAAGAGTACTAATTTTCACATGTAATGCTGTACTTCTTATTTTAATGAATATTGTGTTGTTCGTTTACTTCCATGATTTACACAGAAACATTTATGCCTCAAGGTGCCTTATTATCCATTCTTGTGGCTCATATGGTGCTTCCAAGTTTTGACAATCAACTTGTTGACAACCTTCCACACAGGAGAGGGAGCTCAGTGAGCATTATTTTGGCTATTGCTAATTTTCCAATAAATGTGAATGAACCCCTCAGTTCACTACAGATGTTTTGCCAGGTACGTGGTGATGAGACCCAAAATGATGGACAGCAAAACTCACAAGTGCTCCATTAGTGCTCTTTGCCCCGGGCAAGCAACAAAATATGAGGCCCTCCTTTGTTTCCTGTCCCTGTTGCTTATCCCACCCTGGTAAATGGGCTTGGGACACTCCAGCCATGGGCCTTGTGAAGTTGTTCCTCTCACAAAGTGGAGAATTCACTCAGAATTCTGAACACTGAACTAGGTTTTCCATTCTTGTTTCCCATGACTCTATAATTCTTTACTGTGAGGCTGAAGAGACACTGGCACAGGGTGCCCAGAGCAGCTGGGGCTGCCCCTGGATCCCTGGCAGTGCCCAAGGCCAGGTTGGACAGGGCTGGGAGCACCCTGGGACAGTGGAAGGTGTCCCTGCCATGGCAGGGGTGGAATGGATGGGCTTTAAAATCTCTTGCAAACCAAAACATTCTGTGGATCTGTAATTTTGAGTGAACATCAATGTAGGGAAAAAAACAAGACTGTGGGAAATTTGGAGCAAGGTGAGTTTGATAGAAAGAGACATCTGCTATTTGTTGAGGCTACTCACAGTCAGAGTAAAAAGGTGGAGATTGCTTTAATTACTTTTCCTCCCCCAGAAAAGTGTCTTTTGCATCAGGAGGATGTCTTTTGGGATCCCCAGCCTGAGTCAGAGACCTCTTTTCCTCCCTCTCTATGTAAAGGGAGAACGTGTGTCTTTTATCTGAAGCCTTACAGGGAATCATCAGGGTTGGTATAGTGAGATAAAGAATGTGGATCCCAACTGATGGCAGCTCAATTAAAAAAAGATCTGGTTCTATCAAGTGATAGCAGGTCTGTAAAAGTGTTTCTGGTTTGACATGAATGAGCCAAAGCCGAACTTCATCAAATGCTGTTTAAAAAAACACTATTAAAAAAACAGCCACCGCTTGCTGGGTGTATTTTGTCATGATATGAGACAGGATTTGTCACCTCTGTGCTTGTTCTTTTGAGCTGCCAGGGGCTGGCAGCTCCTGTGGGAAGGAACTGCTCCACTGTGCTTTGCATAAGAGGTTCAGTGTCTGTCTTGTTGTAGAATCTATTTTTACAGGATTTTGGCTCAGAGCGTTCCTCAGCCCTGATTGTCTGGATTTAATGCAAAAGCTGGTATCTCTGCTGCAATCTTTGGGAACCAGTTGATATAACTATAGATCTGTGCTTGCAGTTTGTGGTATTTAGGTCCCACTAGCCCTGAGGTAAAGCTAAATGTGTTTCTCATGCTCTACATGTTGTCTGGACATACAAAAGCTCACTCTGGAGAGTTTTTGTAATCTGAATCAGTACAGGAACAAGGGAGAGAGAGGAGCAGCATAAAATAGACAGGAGTAAATCACTAGCAAGTCACCTGCCTGATTATCTGCACTGTCAGAGATCTGAGATTTCATGTTGTTTCCCCAGCCAGACTCCCTGCTTTCCATCTCCAGACAGTGTAGAACCCGAATAATTTAGAGCAACTATATTATTTCAAGTTTTATACTCTGACACATTCTTTCATCTTGGATTGTTCGACCTTCCTCTTTTCTTCATTCATAACCTCTCTGTGGCAGAAATCTAGCTCTTCCTAAGTTTTTGTTGTTGTTGCTGTTGTTGTTGGTTTTTTTGGCCCCTAAATATTTTGTATTCTTCTGGCTGCAGAGAGTTCATTGCTGGACTCCATGGGCTTTGCTCAGGAAGGGGAGATGCAAAAGTGGAAATACAATGACATCAGACAGCCATTGATCTACCACCCCTTAAGCACTGGTGCTAAGATGCATTCACTCTGATTTCTGAGTTTTGACCCTTGCTGACCAACCTGGACTGGTTTGTCAGGAGGTCTCCACAATGGGGAACACAAAAGTAAAACAGATTTAAAGAAACACAGTCTCTTGAGCTGTGCAAAAGGCAGATAACCGTCACAGACTGGCAGCAAGGCCCCAGAGATTAGGTATAACTATGTAAGTGAAGCATCCGATGTGTCACTTCAAAAGGAAAGTAGCAATCTAAATAATGTATAAAACAAATAGACTTTTCTGTTAAAAAAAAAAAAAAAAAAAAAAAAAAAAACAACTCAAAATGACATTTTATCTTAGGTTTTTATAAGATAAGTCAGTAGTTTGAGGAATCACCAGAGGCTCTGAACAGTCTGACCTGCTGGGTGGTCAGTACTCAGGGTACACCTGCACAGGACCCACCTGAAGAGGGGGAAGGCAGGAATGTTGTCAGGCTGCTCTGTGGGTTTAGAGCTGGAAATGTTTGGGAGGTGTATAGTGCTTTGAATTTTTGCTGGAGCTAACAATGTTTGGAAGAGTTCCTCAGGACAATCTGCAAAACACAACATGTTACAACAGCAACAAGCTCCTTAGTGCTTCTTCCTTTTTATCTCTGGGATGCCAAATGTTCTGAAGCTGAATAACTCAGAGTCCCGAGGCAGGTGCAAAGGAGAGCCCTTCATTGCAAAAACCAGGCCTTTTTAAGCAGATACCCCATAATCAGTTACATCCCATTTAAGCACAAAAAATGTAATTCAACCAACCACCATAAACCACAGTGTGAGCACGTGATGGTTCTGTAACTTGTTTTTCTACCTCTGAGTCTCTTTCCCATAGCCCTTTTCTGTTTAGCTGAAGTAGCAGGTCTGAGACATGATTTTACAAGGCTAACAAGGCCCTTATTTTATAAGTTTTTACCTATATGCAAAAGTGTTTACCTATAGCCAAAGCTCTGCTACTCTGAGTCCCTTTAAAACAAACATGTTGTGCATAGGCAGCACTGACAGAAGCAGAGGACACAGCCTCAAGCTGCACCAAGGGAAATATAGGCTCGATATTGGGAAAAAGTTTTTCATGGAAAAAGTGATAAAGTTCTGGCATGGCTGCCCGGGGAGGTGGTGCAGTCCCCATCCCTGGGTGTGTTTAACAAAGCCTGGATGTGGCACTGGATGCCAGGGTTTAGTTGGGGTGTTGGGGCTGGGTTGGACTCGATGATCTTGAAGGTCTCTTCCAACCTTGTTATTCTGTGATTCTTGGAAGTGAACTGCAAGGCACTCAGCCTGTTTGTGTCCTTGTTCCCCTCTCCCTGCCCTGCCCAGACCCTGAACATCGTGACGCCGCGGGTGCGGCCGGAGGACTGCAGCATCGGGCTGCTGCCCCGCAACCACGACAAGAACCGCTGCATGGACGTGCTGCCCCTGGACCGCTGCCTGCCCTTCCTCATCTCCGTGGATGGGGAGTCCAGCAACTACATCAATGCTGCACTCATGGATGTAAGCACTGCTCTGGCACACCCAGCACGGCCTGCCATGAGTTTATTCCCACTCATGATGCTTTTCTGGGAGAATGGATCTAAAGAAAAATACTTAGCTGTAGTTTCTGAGTCTGGTATCTCCAAATTGGGAAAAGCACATGAATTTTCTCTTTGTCACCAAAATATGTCCTCCAGAGCGTGGTTATCCCAGAGAAGTGGTCACAGCACCAGCCTGACAGAGTTCAAGAAGCTTTCACAAAATACTTTTGGGCACTCTTGGGGATGGTGCTGTGCAGGGCCAGGAGTTGGGCTCCATGATCCTTGAGGGCCCATTCCAACCCAGCATATTCTGTTACATGCTGTTACTCTGTGATCACACTCCCTAGTGCTGCACCACATTGGTAGAAAATTTTTGGCAAAAGCATCCCTCAGAGTGCAGTCTGAGGCTGGATCGCAGAAAGGTAGATGCACAAAAAAGTGGGGGGACAGCTCTTCCCATACATTTGTTTTGTATCCATTGGGAAGAGAAAAGTTTGTCAGGTCAGCTGTTTGAAAAGGATAATTTACAGTGTGGAGTGAATGACTGATATGATCTTATGCAGTTAAGAATGTGGGAGTGCAGGGATCAAATGTGCAAAATATTTTCAGGCTAAAGGATGTGAGTTGAGCTGATGTGACTCTGTCCGAAGGCGTTTTCCCTCGCTTTGTTTACAGCCTGGAATCTCACAGCATGGGTCATTTGTGGAAGATGAATTATGTTGATGGCTTCTTTTTGCTGTGCTGCCTTTGGACACAGATGTCTTTAAAGCCACTAATTATTGCAGTTGGAGTATGTGTAAATATGATCCAGGGTGAAATGCCATCATTTTTTCCCTGGCAGCAGCAGGGTCTCTGTTTTTTAATTTTGTCCGTTCTCCAATCTTTGGGAAACAGCAATACTGTTGCATTTAAGATATTCAGTCAAATGGTCACAGAACTTATTTTAGATTTTTTTCAGCAAGATTGTGATGTTCTCATTACAAACGTGCCTAAGGAAGCTTGTTTTTTTAAAGCATGTTCAGTGCTTTTGCACATCTGCAGAAGCACAGTCCAGTCTTTGGTTTCTTAGGGATGGGGAATGTTTGTACATTTCAGCCCTCATTACCTCAAATCACTTTGCAAATATTTGGATCCTTCCCCACAAAATTCCAGTGGATTATTTTTTTTTAGTACAAAGCAATTTTTCACCTTTCATTGAAATTCAGCTGCTGTGATGTTCTCTGGCTCTCCTTTATCTTTCCATAAAGGATTCAGGAACTTTTGGGGACAAAAATAATCACAGGGGAACAGCCAGAATCCTATATTTTCATTGCTGTTCTTGCTGAGGTGTGAAGTCTTGTACTGAGCAGGGACTCTTAGAGGACACCCTCCATCCATCTCACATTGCCCTGAAAGGAGCAAAATGTCCCTGCCCTAAAACAATGAAACATAATCTTTAACAAATGAGACTTAAGTTACATCATGAGTCAAGTCATGAGGAAGGGTTGCTAGATTTGCGTTTAATCCATGGGGTTTGGAGAAAAACATGAATTTATGTGTCCCTAACATCATCATTGCCCCATAATCCCACACATGTTCTCTTGCATGAGTAGGTCACACCTCTGTGTCACCTTCCCTTTGAAACAGGACAGTGAACCTGGTTCCTCACCTGTAGCAAGGAGCTGGGCAGGGTTTCTTTTTCTCCTAAAGGCAAACCCCACAAGCACACATGATCTTCAGCCAAGAGTTTAGCTAGATTTGCTACTGGCACACTATGAAAAAACCAGAGCACGAATATTCTGGTGTTTAATTAATTAAGAGGTAAACCTCAGTATCTTATTGCCACTCTGTTGCTGCCACTGGTCTGGTACTTCACAACTTTTGACCCATTCTGGTGTTTCTAGATGTGGAATGCAGTGGGGAAAAAGAAAGGAGTCCGTTCTAGATAAAAATTTCCCAAGAAATCATTTTGTTTTCCTTCTCTGTACATCATGTCCCATCACCCTCCTCACATGTGCACACTCAGAAGCTCCTTTTTCCCAGCATGGCCTGCCCAGCACTTCCACCCACATCTGCCACACACGGAGGAAAAAAGACAAACCCCCATAATGGGCAGCTTCATACTTCAGGACTTTATTATTTCTTCACTTTAAATCCAAAATTTATTCCACTGGAGGGTTATTTTGTGCTCTTTTGTTTTATTTACCCCAGAATTAGTGTGCCTTTTGATGCAAGTCTGCTTCATAGATGTACAGCACAAAGGACTGTGCAGTTTCCAGGCTCATCTAAGACTTGCCTGCTGTGATTGGGAAGCGATAAAGTTTTCAGCTTGTTGCCTTTCATCCCAAACATTCATTAACTCAGCCCTGCAGAGGCTGGAGCACAGCTCCATCCCTTTGTGCTTAGGGAGACTGAGATCAGGGGGCCTTTTTGAGGTGAAAGAATAACAGCAGAAATTAAATGCCCATTTCACAGGCTCTGAATGCTGCCCCATAAAGGATGGCTGGGATCCAAACGTGCCACCTCTGTCACACTGCACCCCAGGCAGCCCCAGCAGACGGGGCTAATCCCTTCTGGAGTTCCTCAAGGCCACTGCAGCACAAAGGAGAACATTTGCTTCCAGCTGTTTTCCTTCCAATTATTAATATTACTGATAGTCGTAGTAGTAGTAATAGTAGAATTAGCATTATTTGCTGAGTCTCAAAATATAAATAATTGATTTGGGTAATCTCTGCTCTTGTGACACTTCTTTAATGAAATGTCTTTATTGGGAGCAAAAGAATCCCATTACGAGGCGTTCATTCATTGCGGAGCGATAACAAGGAGCAGGAGATGTGATTTGTATAATCTGGTTAAATGGCTCAGACTGCCTCCCCACAGCCTCCTGGGTATAATATTCCTTTGAATAAAAGTTGATTGATTTTTTTTTTTTTTTAAACTAATCTTACTCTTTTGTTAGAGCCACAAGCAGCCTGCTGCCTTCATTGTCACCCAGCACCCCTTGCCCAACACCATCACAGACTTCTGGAGGCTGGTGTTTGATTACAACTGCTCCTCCGTGGTGATGCTCAACGAGATGGATGCAGCACAGGTCAGTGGCTCTTCATTCCTGGCATTTCTCTCCCTTCTCAAATCCAGGGGGTTTGCAGAGAGTTCCTGCTGCCATTTTATTGGGCTGGGTGCCCTCCCACCCCAATAAATAAATGAGGGGGAGTTGGAAAGTAATAGGTGATGTTTTGGGGTTTTAATGGAGAAAAAGTCCATATGTAAGCTCTTTGTAAGCTAATTCTTATTGCAATTAACAGGGATCACAGAAGGGTTTGGATGGGAAGGGACCTTAAAGACCATCTTACTTAAACCCCCTGCCACAGGCAGGGCTACCTTCCACTATTCCAGGTTGCTCCAAACCCCATCCAACCTGGCCTTGGACACTTCCAGGGGTGGGGCAGCCACAGCTGCTCTGGGAATCTATCCCAGGGCCTCACCATCCTCACAGGGAGGAATTTCTTCCTGATATCCCATCTAATCTGCCCTCCTTCAGTTTAATGCTATTCCCCTTTTTCTTGTCACTCCACACCCTTCTGAAAAGTCACCCTCCAGCCTTCCTGTGAGCCTCTTTTATGTACTGGAAAGTTGCTGTAAAGTCTCTCCATTTATTATATAAATACTTTGATATAAAATTATGTAAAATATAGTTAAAAGTATCAAAAAAGTTTTATATGCATACTGTATATATTACAGAAATACTTCATGTTTGCAGGTCAAAATTTCCCTCCCAAACCCACTTTCTCCCCTCTCATATTTTTGTCTGTGTTTGGTTCAGGAAAATGCTCCCTACTACAGCCCCAGGGTGCTTCATATTTGCCTTTTTCACATGGCATTTCCAGAAGAATAAAACCAAGAGAGCTGAAATAATTTGAAGGATCTTTCCCCAGAGATTTCCAGTGTGATTCTGTAATACTGAGAAATGTGCTTTGCACAGTTTGAGGATAATATAGTCCTTTTATCTCTTTTCCTTTTTAATTCCATGTCTAAGTTGGGTTTTGGCTACTGGACACAGCATTATTCTCAGCATTTGAGCTTTTGCCATTCCTCCTGCCCTGGTTCTCCAGCCACCTTGCTGATGAGTGGCAGAGGAGAACAGCTTTCAAAAAGGTGTAATCATGCAATTTGTGTGGAGGGTACATTTGGCATGGTTAATTCACCCATTACAGCCCTTGTTCAATGAGAGGAGAGGAGCCCTCAACAGCTGGTACTTCATGGATTCTTTTCTCATTTGTCTCTTGCCTGTCTTACCACACTTGCAGGCAGTGAATTGTTGGTCTCTTTTCTGGATGGTGATGGAGAAGCCAATCACCCCAGTCCTTAAGGGGATGTCCCATCAGGGGGAACTTGGTGGGATTCCATTCCAGCCCCAGTGACAGCTCTGTTCAGCAGTGGGCTCTCCTGGTGCCCTGCAGAGTCCCACGAGTCTGTGAGGAACCAGAGGTTCTCTGTATCCTCTGTATCTTCTGTTTTCCTCTTCCATCTCCTTGATTCTGCATCTTGGCATTGAATCCAGAGATAAATTTCACCTTTTATTTTTCCTGACACTTCAAAGCAAAACCCATCTTTTTCTGGAAATGACGCAGTTTCTCACACTTGGTTCTGGGAAAACACAAACCTTTCAGCCCCAGCCAGTGTTATTCTTGTGACTATCTTTCTGCACAAAGCTTAGGGGTTTTTTTTTCCTAGCAAAGTTTTGCTGCTATGATGTGGTCTGTAGGCACAGAAAAGGGGATTTGGCAGTGCCTGAAGTCACTTTGACAGTTTCTATAGCACAGTGTCACCTCCCTCGAGGGTGCAGCCAATGCCAGAACACCCAGGTGGCACTGGAAGTTAAGGAGGATTTTAAAGTTTGTATTTTATGAGCTACCAGGACACTGTGAGACAGTTTGACATCACAGAATCATTTGGGCTGGAAAAAACCTCTCAGATGATTGAATCCAACCATTCCCCCAGCACTGCCAGGGCCACCAGTAACCCATGTCCCCAAATGCCACATCTACATGTCTTTTAAATCCCTCCAGGGATGGTGACTCCACCACTGCTCTGGACAGCTGTTCCATTGCTTGACCACCCTTTCAGTGAAGAAAATTTCCCTAATATCCAATCTAAGCTTGCCCTGACACAGTTTGAAGCTGTTTCCTCTCATCCTGTCCCTTGTTCCTTGGGGACAGAGCCTGCCCCCCACCTGGCTGCACCTTCAGGGAATTGTGGAGAGTGAGAGGGTATCCCCCCCAAGCCTCCTTTTCTCCAGGATGAGCCCCTTTCCCAGCTCCCTCAGCTGCTTCTGGGGGCTCCAGACCCTTCCCCAGCTCTGTTCTCCTTCAGACCACACACAACCATTGTGTGACTGAGTGGCCTCAAGCCCATCAATCCAGATCTCTGTGCAGGTCCTTCCTACCCTCCAGCAGATCATCAGATCCATTGTGGAGAGGAGTTTTATGGAAGAGAACTTGGCACTGTGACTGCACTGTCCTTGCATGACAATATTGTCATTCCCTGTCTGTTCATCAGTGCCTGATCCCAGGCTGTGCCCTGAGTTCAGGGAAAAGGCAAATAAATCCTGTGGAGGTCAGAGCACACAGCAGGCAATGTTCAGCACCGTGTACACCTGTGTGTTTGGAGAGGTGGCCATTCACAGACCTGCTCTGAGAGAAGCAAATTTTCCATCCTAAGGAAAGATTTCATCTTTTTTTGCTTTCCCCTGCACCTTGAGGTTGTTTGCTAAGCTGCTGCTCGGCTCACATCTCCCTGCCTGAGGGACAGATGCTTTGAGAGGAGATCACTAGGCAGCTTGAAAGTCTGAAGGAAGAGTAAAGACACCCTTCAAAGGACTTCCTTGTGTGGTCTTGGCTGGCTTGCTTAATCTTGAAAAACTAACAAGGGCAAAGATGCACAAGATTGTGTGAATATCCCACCCAATTTCAATCCTATATGATCAAAGGAAGAACAGGAGTGCAGAATTAATGCAGCCACATGCACGCACTTGACATCGTTGCTGGCAGTGATTGAACTTGAAAAGCTCGAGATCAAGTTCAAATGAGCATCTGGGGGTTTCGAAACTTGTACAAAATTACACTTGAAAATAGGAAGAAAGAAAAAAAACCACAAAGAAATATAATCTTAGCAGAAACTGCTAATGAGATCTCATGCAAAATATTTTTGTGCCATGATCTATTTCCAGCTGGATTTAAAATCCTTAGATTGTAATTTGTGTGCACAGGGTGGTTTTTGTCCTTTCAACTCAGTAACATCAGCACCAGAAAAAGACTCCCAGCCTGCTTCACAAACTTCAGAGGTGAAGTTGTGATTCACCCTGAAACCAGAGTTGCTGTTGTTGCTGTCAGAACAAACTCACTCTCCTTCTCCTGCTCACTGGTACAGCCAGAAAATTAAAAATTTCATCTTACAGAAAAAAAAGAAATTCTAGTTTGTTTAAATTAAGATCAATTTTCTTGGTGCCTGTTCTGTTTCCTCATTTTTACCAAATCTCTGTGGTTCCTATTAAGTTTATCTACAGACACTAATATTCAATGTTCCTGTTAAATCTCTGCCTTTACAGAAGCTTCATTTGTCGGCCACCTTCTCTGCACCTCTAGACCCAGAATACAATCAGTTCCAAACTGTCTTCATACAAAAATAAAGAGAAAGAAAAGTCCAGGCCCTAAAATATATTTCTTTTTTTTCTTCATATTCAGGATATAAAATGCTTTACTGAGCTAGAATGAGATCTCCCCTGAACAAAGCCACAATATACAAATTGTAATGGATTTTGAGCTGGTTATAGATCCAAAAGGAATGACTGAATGTGTTAATAATTAAGATTTCTGTTTGGTGTTGTGTTTTTTCCTAGCTCTGCATGCAGTACTGGCCAGAGAAGACATCCTGTTGTTATGGCCCAATCCAGGTGGAGTTTGTTTCAGCAGACATTGATGAAGATATCATCAACCGGATATTCCGGATTTGCAACATGGCCAGGGTAAGACAGGAGAAATACCACGTTCCCTAGTTATTCTCAAATACACATTTTGGCTCGAGGAAGAGGCAGAGCCAAGACTTGTTGTTTAGAGATGCAGAATCTCTCACCTAGGAATGAAATTCCACTGCAGCTACTTCCTTTAATTAACATTTAATCAGCATGCATTGCTAAAGGACTCTTGGCTGAAGGCAGCAAGTGGATGATATGAGCTGAAAATCTGTATTTAAATGGTGAGCATTTTTCTGTGTATATTTGAGAACAATTCATCACTTAGTAGCCAATATAAAGCCATCAGTATTGCAGGAAATAAACTGGGATGGTGTCAGCAGCTCTCCATCTGTCAGCTCCCAGGCAGCATCTCTGAAGACAGATGCAATGTTTACTGGCTAGACTGGGATTCCCAACTGCCACTGCTTTCCCTATAAATAAGCAACTGCCATTTCTGTAAGCAGTTCTTTGTCTGTGTCCCTCAGCCCCAGGACAGCTGAAATGCTAGAAACAAAGTTTATCTGCGCACTGAGCCCTGGCAATCCGGCTTCAGGACTGCAGGAAAGGGCTTCAGCAGAGGATTTTTCTCTCATTAGTTGTTTCCCAGATTGATTATGTTTCCTTTGTTGTTCCTCTTTCATTTTTTTCTTGTCAGAAATGGAAGCAGGCTCTGCAAATTATATTTCCATGCAGTGTAACCCATCAGTGTCTGCATGCTCAGAGCCTGTGCAGCAGTACAGGTGTGGCACTGCAGAGGGATCCTTGTGGTCCAGCCACAGAAATTAATGAACTGGTTGGAGATTAGACACCTTCCTGTGTCTCAGGGAGAGCCTGGGGGTGATAAAACTGGTCAGAGCAAGGCTCTGTGGCTCTCAGGTGGAGCTGGCCCATGGATGCAGGGCTGCAGGGTGGATGCTGTGCACTCACAGCTCTCTGCACTCACCATGTCCAACACCACAGCCACTGCCAGCAAATTTGTGAGGATCCTTTCCCTCCACAATCCCCAGAGAATTTTTGAGGGCTGCCTCTACTTCTTACAGCACAGCACAGCCAACCAGCAAAGAGACATTTGACCTGTTTGTGCAGTTTGATGGAACTTTATTCTGTAAGCCAAACAAAGCTCCCGTGCACTTGCTGTCCACTTGGCTCTGTAACAATTGTTCTCCAGGTTAGAGAAAAGCCCTTGTTTCTGCACTGTACCCAGCGTGGCGAGCACCAGCACTGCTGGTGCAGGTGCAGAGGGGAGGCTGCTGTGCAAGCAGTGCTCCCAGCCCTGCCCATCCCTCGCTGGCCCCGGGCAGCCCTGAGCAGGCTCTGTGTTGCAGCCGCAGGACGGGTACCGCATCGTGCAGCACCTGCAGTACATCGGCTGGCCGGCCTACAGGGACACCCCTCCCTCCAAGCGCTCCCTGCTGAAGGTGGTCAGGAGGCTGGAGAAGTGGCAGGAGCAGTACGACGGCAGAGACGGGCGCACTGTGGTCCACTGCTTGTAAGTAGGGCTGGGAAATGTCTGCAGCCTCATGCGGTGTGGTTGTGGCTCTGGAAATCTGGTGGTTTGCCAGGCTTCAGCTGGGGAGAATGGAGATAAAGTACTTTTATAACACACTTCAAGTTGAATATTGTCTTGCATTATAGTATCCTGGCCCAGGGATTTTACTGATTGCAGTGAGAGATGCTCGCTAGTGAGAGAAGAGCTGTGGGTCTCGTGACTGGAGCGCAGCCAGAGCTGAAGCAGCCCTGCCATGTACCCAGCTCTGTGCACAGAGCTGCTGTGAGCCCAGAGCAGGGGGATTTGCAACACTGCAGTCCCTGAGCTCCCCTGTCCCCTACTCCAGGGGGACAGGGAAGCTCCCCTTATCCCTTAGTCCTTCCATCCCTGCCCCGGTTCTACAGATCTCTACTTTCACAGACTCCCAGAATGGTTTGGGTTGGAAGGGACCCCAAACACCACTCAGTTCTAGTGGACACCTTCCAGTATCCCAAGGGTGCTCCAAGCCCTGTCCAGCCTGGCCTTGGACACTTCCAGGGATGGAGCAGCCACAGATGCCTCACCACCCTCACAGGGAATAATTCCTTCCCAATATCCCATCTATCCCTTCTCTATGGTAGCGGGAAGCCATTCCCCCTTGTCCTGGCACTCCATGCCCTTGTCCCAAAGCCCCCCTCCAGCTCTCTTGGAGCCCCTTTAGGCACACAAACCCTTGAACACCAGCCCTTACGTAAGAGACCTTCCCCAGTGTGCAGGGCTATGAGCTGTGTGTGCTCCCCTTCCCTCAGCCTCAGCAGCCCCACCCTCCCCTCTTTTGTCCCGCTGCCAGGAACGGCGGAGGTCGCAGCGGCACCTTCTGTGCCATCTGCAGTGTGTGCGAAATGATCCAACAGCAGAACATCATCGATGTGTTCCACATAGTGAAAACGCTACGGAATAACAAGTCCAACATGGTGGAGTCACTGGTAAGGATTCTTTCTGCTCATTGCCCACCCAGTGTGTGTGCAAGGGACTTCAGGATAGGTAACAAAATGTCAAAATGGCTTAGTTCAGGATGAATCAAAATGAATGGGAACATGAGTACAGCAGAGTTAAAACTGGTCCTGGTTTAGCATGTTCAGTGAATCTTCTTGCTTCTCTTTCTGAGAAGAGGGGATGCCCTGGCAGAGCAATGGACCCTGTGTCCCATGCCCAGCTGCCTCAGGAGGACAAACCTCACAGAGCTGTCACATGGCTGTGGGAAGAGTGGGATTTGTCCTTCTGTCTGTGCAGAGATCTGTCCTCCTGGCCAGCCCAGTGCTGAGTGCTGTGACACATCTTGAAACCAGGAAGGAAGAACAGTCCAGCCTCAGGCCTGGCTCCCTGCAGCCCAGGAGATTAAACTGTTCTGAATTCAGTCATCTCCATCCATCACTCTGAGTTCGTGCCTCAAAAGCAACATGTGCAGTGAGGGCTGGAGGCAGATAATGAATAGTCCAGACTGGGGCTGTCTCTTTGAGTGCTTTTCTCTTCCTTTGACGACACCATCTCCCAGCCATGCTTGCTCAGGATCACTCAAAAACACAACCAGTGTTTGCCTGCTCCTGCCAAAGAGTATAAGAAAGAGGGAGGAGGTATTTTTGCTTGTAGGATGAGGCTCTGAGGAATTTTCCCATATCCTAATGCATTCCTTTGTGTCCTCTCTTTCAGGAACAGTATAAATTTGTATACGAGGTTGCACTGGAATACTTGAGTTCCTTTTAGCCCAGCGAAGGGAGGGGACCCCACGATGTGCCAGACCCCAAACTCTGGCGGATGCTTCTCCCCTGTCCCACACTGGAAGGCAGTAACAAGTGTGGGAAGGAAAATTTCTCCTTCCTTCTCAGCAAGAGACTGAGGTTGCAGAGACCTCGCTGGAAGGAGGAGATGATGCCTGTGTGTGCTGCTGCCTGCTTTCTATCGGAACATCTACTGCTTCTTAAATAACTTACTGTAAAAATTAGCAACATGGGAGACAGGCTGAAAGACTGGACTTTCTAATCCCCTCTGACTTCTCTCCTCTTTTGGATTGTGTTTTTGTTCTGCTTGCTGCAGAGTGGGGAAGGAATGAAACCCTTAGGAAATTCTCTTTTAAATGTCTCCTTTTTAATTTATAATTTTGTTCTCAAATCCCAGCCTTTTAATTTTTTAATTTTATGCAGCAGTCATTTGGGAAAAATGAGATAGCCATAGGGGATACATGAAATGTTTCATTACAATTTGTCTACCTTATCTGTTTCCTTTTATTTGTTTTTCCAAATGAAAAGGCCAACACACACACACACACAAAAAAGACTATGCTGGAATTCTCTTCCCAAATGTAGTCCCTTTAAGCATGAAAATAGATGATGGAGATGAGAAGCTGTTCATGGATCCACTGCCCCCACAGAAATATTTCCTCCCAGTTTCTGCTCGACTTCAGGGCCGTGCATGACCCAGTTCCATCCCTCTGGTCTCTGTCCTTTCACTGCTGGTGAAGCTGTTGAGGAATTTCCCAGCCACTTGAACCCGAAGGTTAAATATTTGCATCCAACAAATGGCATTTGTCTGGCAGCTTTGGTGACTTGGTTACCACATTTCCCAAGTATTAGCTGGGGTGCAGTGTGTCTCTGACAAACAGGGTATGAAGTAGGTATTATTGCTCATATACTATGTATGACTATTTTTTATTTATTATTTGTATTTCTGTAGAATTTAGGACCCCTAGTCACGCCAGGACCCTGTGAACTAGGCACTGTGCAAGCAGACAGCAAAGAAAGTTCCTGCTCAAGAGTTTAAAAGTCTGAAGGTTCTTAAAATTGGGTTTGAGCAAGATTTCCTCACTATTTCCAGGCCCTACAAGCTTCAAAATTGTAACCCACTGGAGCTGTAGGAAAGGTGATGTACATACACAGAAACCTGTTCTGACACCTGTAAAGAGAAGTGTTAGCCCAGCACAGCAACTTCTCTTCTTAAGCAAAACAGCTTTTGTTTTATTCTGCAAAAATTCCTGTGCAAGTCTCCTTCTCTGAAACAAACACCAGATGTGTTTTGCCACGGTTGTGGACCTCATTCTGACTTCTTAGCAGCTAAGAAATTGCTTTTCTGACAAAGTATGTTTAAGTAGTTAATCACTAAGGTCTGCAGGGTACTCTTGGGGAAAAAAATAATTGAATAAGCAAGACTTTACCATAATTAGTATTTCAGTTTAGCCATTTATTTGTCTTGAGGGTGTGGGATATGAGGTTGCTCTGTGTGTAAAATGGATTCTGGGGTGTAGGGTTCTTTAAATTCAGACTTGCTAAAAGATAGACTGCAGGTAAGAGTTGAAGGAAACTTCAATTTTCTTATCACCCTGTAGTTTTCCACCCTCAGGTAAATACTCAGAGACTGCTGGGAGCTCTGTCCTGCCCATGCCTGGCACAGAGCATGCCAGAGGTTCAAAATGTTTTGCTGATGCTGTCTGTGAATTCAAAAGGCACCTCTGCTTCATGGTCATTCTTTCCTCAATAGTCAGACCCTCACCTTGACCAGGAGGGATGGAAATGAAATCTGGAAAAGCAGCTCCTGACTGCTTGACTGAGCCACACCAGTACCCAACCAAACCATTGTCATCTACCAGGACCTGCACCAGCCTAGGGAAGGATGCTTGTGGTTCAATAATACCCCTCTTGACAAGCAAAGGATCCTGAACCACCTGGGGGTTTCTCTAAAGAGCTTTGGATTCTTGGCTTTAATATCATGAAGGTCTTAAGCGATCATGAACCACCTTCTCACAGGAGCCTCTGTGCTGTTTCTGGTTGGTCCTTTCTGTTGCCTGCAAAAAACTCATGAAATCAACTTTAGTTCCAGTTGGGGCTGTGAAGGGACTGGTCTGAATTTGTTTTGTTTTTTTTTTCTTTATGCAACAACACAGTTCAACAGGAAAAATAACTAGGAGGCAAAGTGAAACTATAAGATAAAAGTGAGAGGAAAAGAATAATATTGGTATTTTGATTACAGGTGGCTGGGTGGAACAGTGTAGGTCAGTGTCGGGAAAGAAAAAGGAAGAGGGAATTCTAATCCCAGGATAAGATTTTTCAACAAGTCCCAGGTATGAAGAAACTACAAGTCAGCAAAATGGTTTTTGACTCTGCTGACTCCAGAAAGCCAAAGGGACCCACTCCCTGTGGATAATATAGAAATATTAATTAGTAATTAGCATTCTGTTAATTTTACATAGAAAGTAGCACAGTGACAGGTCTCCCTCGTGACTTAGGGGAGTGAAGCCAGCACCGAGGGTGACAGCTGGGATAAGGGAACAGAGAGGTAAAGAAATGCCAGTATCACTGAGGTGTGAAGTGTAGGAAGTAATTTAGGCTTAACTTAAAAGAAAGTGGATTGAAATGCCAGAGTTTAGCCCACAGGAGGGGTGTGTGAGTGAGGGGAAGGACGTGTGGGATGAGCAGAGCAGAACAGCACTGGCAGTGCAGGGCTTTAGGGTCTGGAGGTAGGTTTGGATGTGTTTTATGGTATGAAAAACACTACTAAAGGGTCAGGTACCTGTATCAGCTGGCCCACAGCAACTCCCTGTGTGCTCAGCCCTCTGCAAAAGCCAAGTGATGTTGGCACAAACTGCAGGGAAAGATATTTAAGCTCAATTTTACATTTTATAGGAGCTCAATGCAAATGTTGGTTCCCACAGCCCAACTGTTAGTCACAGCTTATTATGTGGCCACTCAACCATGTGTCTGAACTTCCTAATGTCCAGCCTACAACCCATATGGAAAGATGCTCAGCAGACACTGCAGATTGTGTTGCCAAATTGTTATAAATTCCTGCAGTTACAGTGCTTTTGGGGGACTGACCCAGCTCCAGTCTGTGTTGGCTCAGGGATCTTCATGCTGTTCCTCCCTGCACAGTGCATATATGCCAAGTGTGAATTAATGATGAAGGGAATTGTGTGGAAAAGCTCACTTTAAATCACTTTATTACCTTGAGGTTGTTTAAACCCTAGAGAACAGCCCATAGTGAAGTAGGTAATGTGTTTGAAGCGAGATTATGGGTGATGGGTTTGTTTTCATGGGGAAAGAAAGAAATTATGAGATGAGATAAAGGAGGTTTTCTCACTCCTGGAAGGATTAATAGTCAGTGTGAGCTTTTCAGCCTAAGCATCCCCTGCCGTGGATGGAAAGTGATAATGTGCAGTAAAAAAAGGTGAATTCCTCAGTGATGGAATTTTAGGCTGGAAAAAATATCACATTGACAATATTTGAAAGGACATAATGAAGATAAACTTATTCCTATGGAGACATCCTTCAGAGGTGAGGGGGAACTGTTTGTGATAGCACAGAGTTGGTGTAAAGTTTGGTCTGAAATACAAGGAAGTAGAAACAGGTGGTGTGGGGTCACTATCTCATATAGGGGGTAACCAACATCTTAAATTATTAATGGTGTAACTGCAGCAATGAATTCCACTGGTTATCAGTGGTTTGTAACCTTTTATTCTGGAGCTGTAAACTCCCCAGGAAAATAAAAAAATACACAGTCCAGTAGCCACATGGATCCCACAGTACTAGATTTAAGCCTGTGGATGCTAGCATGGATTTTCCATTTACTTTCCACAGGCCCTTTAACAGTAGTTTGTGGGATTTCCCTTGGGAATCTCAAGCCAGGGATTTTTTGGTCACTCTTGGTGTGATATAGAGGAAGGAGAGAGGCTCCTGCAGCAGGTGGTTCAGGAGGCAGTTAAACCAGTTTCCATCTGGAAGAGAAGGAAAGGAGAAGAAATCTCCTTTGGGAGAAACAAAACATTGGAGGAGAAGGCAAATGAAATGTATCCTGAAACAGGTAGGAAATTTGCACCTTGCTCTCTCTCTCATTCTTGCACAGCTGCTCTCATCTCACTCTTCTGAGTTCCTGCCAAGATCATAAAAAACACGTAATGTCACATTCTGTGCTGTGGAGATGGAGCACTTGGAGTGTGACAGAGGGAATAAATCCTGAGGGACAAAGATAAAAGAAGATTTGCTCAAGAGGGGAATCTTCAAATATGAGGTGCTTCTATCTGTCACACTTGCAGAATTTTTAGTAAAGTCACAGAGTAGTGCACAGTCCTGGCATGGTCCTGGATGGGCAATGTGGTGGAAAAGTTCCCCTTGGAAAACTTCATTGTCCTGTAATAAATGTGAACAATTAACTCCATGACATTGGCAGCACAGTTAATTTTTGAGATCACTCCAGCCAGTGAAAGGGGCATCTCCAGACCTTGGTGTGAAACTGCTGCATTTTCATTTGAGAATCTTTTAATTTGTCTTAAGTGTATAAAAGACAGTCAACCCCTCCCCCCCCCTTTTTTTTTTTTTTTTTTTTTTTAGGAAAATAAAGGGGGCCATGTGGCAAAAGTGGCAACATTTATTCAGCATAACCAATGCCACCGGGTCAAAAATTCCATATTCCTGCTGTGTGAGGGCAGAACAAAGCACTGCAGCTGCCCTGCCCAGACAGAGGAACAGGAGGAGCCAGCTAAGTCAGAGAGACAGATGTGAGCAATGAGGATTCTGTTAACCCTCCTGTGCTCCTGCTTATTTAGATTGCAGTCTTCTATAGCCATACATACATAATATACAATTCCAATGCAAGTGCTCTTTCTTTCCCTGTTCCCAAAAATACCTCCAGCTATTTTTCCTCGAGGGTGAGCCAACAGCATAGCGAGCAAAGCCCAATTTCTGCCGATTTGGCAAGGACCACAAGGAAAATCCATCATGTATTATCTGTTCATTGACTTGGAAAAGGTATCAATCATCTCCCTCATATGCATACTTGAAGAATGTACAATTTGCTCAAACTGTCAAGCAGAATCATACATTTTCATATACCACCAAATCCTGGTGGTACAGAGTGTGATGGAAAGAAAAAAAAAGAAAAAAGAGAGGCAAAAACTTGCTAACTTCCAGTGACCTCTAGTCTATAACCATTAATTGCTGTGTTACAATATTTTAAAAGTTTCCCTTGTAAAAAAAATAAACTATGCTCAGAATATCCTACAGTTTAATGTTGGACTAGCAGAATGTGAAAACCTGGCAGCTTTTCCAGTTTGTAAAAACATGAGGGATCTAAATTAGTCTTTCCATCCTCATCCCAGTTCATGCAGCAGATTTTCCACCA